CGAGGGAGAGGGGGGAGGAGGAGGACAGCAGCTTGGCTGCGCATCGTGAGAAGCAGGCCTACTCAGGGCTGGAGGCCGCGCAGCCCCGGCTGTCAGCCGGCCTGCTGGCCAGCTCGTTGTGCTGCACCGGCGCCTGGGCCGCTCTGAAAGGCGGGGTCGTGGTTGGCTAGCACACTGCCTCTGCAGAGGCCCGGGGGCAGAGCGGCGCAGAGGTTCAAGATGTGGACTTTGAGTCGTATCTGCTAGCGAGGTGGGGTTGGAGCCCACCTCTGCCTCTTGCTTTAGCTGTTTAACCTGTGTCTCCATAGACTAATCTGAAAAATGGGATAACGGTAGTACCTTGTCTCATCAAAATTGTTGTGCGATTAGATGAGTGTGGGGTTCTGCGAACCCTCTGTGACACGATGGAAGGTGCCCCGTTGAGTGCTTGGATGTTGCCTTCTGGCTGTCGTAATAGCCCACTGTGACGTTTTTCTCAATTCTTTTATTCATGGTATTTCTTCTCTGCAATCCTAGAGGTTGTATTTAAGTTTGTCGCCCCCTACAAAAGCAGTATTCAAACAGCTTCTTTCTTTGAGAGGCCTCTTTGGGGCTTGATATTCTGGCACTTAAACTAATCTGTGTACTTTCTTTTTATCCCTTCATCCTTTTGTTAGGCTTCTGTTACCTCTCCTCTAAGTGTTCACTTGGCAGAGTAGAAAAAGTCCATTTCCTTTAGTCTTCCTTAGTAATAGAAGTCAGCCATTAACCCCATGATTTGGAGGGAAGCGGAAGGGCAGCAGTGACGGGTGCTGGGGTACTGCTGAGCTCTGGGTTAGGAGTTCAACACTGGAAAGTCTGTGTTCATGGTTGGTGACTGCGCTGTCCATGGTCCCTGCCTCTGGACAGCTTAGGCCCTCGAGCACTCCCCCTGCCTTCAGATGGGTGATGGCGAGCCACACTGCGGGGCAGAGTGCTGCAGGTGCTAGGGGCGGACAGGAGCCTCCTGCCCCGTGCAGGGGCTTCCTGACCTGGAGGTGACCTGAGTCTGCTTGCCAGAGAAGCAGGCTCGGGGAGCCAGATGGGCTGTTAGCCACTGTGACTTCTGCCGCAGCTGCAGGGGTGGTTGGTTTTAAGATTTGGGAACTTCTTTTAAATCTTTTTTCAGGCCTACCTCTGATCTTCTTCCCTTCAGGCCAACCAGGATCTCCCAACCGGAAGACAGCAGGCAGCCCAACAATGTGATCAGACAGCCTTTGGGTCCTGATGGGTCACAAGGCTTCAAACAGCGCCGATAAATGCGAGCAAGAAAGGATGCCACCGCTGCCACCATTATCGCCTCCTGGGTCGTCCGCCACGGGCTGCACTCCCGTGGCAGACAGCTGGACTTGAGCAGAGGGAAGGACCTGATTTACTTGCACTGTGATCCCCTTTGCTCCGCCCACTGTGACCTTGAACCCCATGCACTGTGACCTCCCTCTTTCCCCCCCTTCCCACTGTGATTGGCATGTCTACAAGGGCTTCCCAAGTCAATGGAAAGGGAAAGGATTTGGGTTAGGGGACTTAAAAAAGAGAATAGAGAGTCAGACAGTGCCACATGGCCACTTGGGGTAAAGCCAGTGCCAGCAATAACAGTTTATCATGCTCATTAATTTGGGATTTCAAAACAAATGAGAAGTCCCATCCACCCACCCCCAAGTGCATGTCTCCATCACTTTAAAGCAAGTTCCATTTGAAAAATATCCTTTCTTTTTTTTTCCTTCCTATTTTTGTTTATAAAAATATCTGATTTGCAAGGAAAAGTGCATGGGAGGGGTTTTAGCAGTTTAATGAATTTTTAATTAAGAAAGGGTAGTTTGGTAGTCTACTTAAAAATGTTTCTGGGAAATTCACTAGAAACATTAACCAGTAGGTTTTTGGTGAGCTTAGCTTCTGTATTCCTACTGCCGCCCAGAAAAGGGGCAGGGCTCTGTAGCCCCCAGGACAGATGAACACCCCATGCCTATACCTCCCTCCCCCCAGCTAAGTCCCAGGGCATCATGGCCCTACCTGGAGACTGGGCTAGTTCTATAGGCTCAGAGAGCCTGGGGAGGGTGCCAACCCCACCTCTCGTACTTTGGGAGATAGGGAAAGTGAACAGACTTTCCCTTCCCGTTCCCCTCAGGGTGGTTCCCTGCCAGCCACGCTTGCTACTTCTAGAAGAGAGCGGGGACTGAGACTGTACTCCTGAGATTTAGAAGTAAGGGAGGTGAGACTTGCTCACTATTTTTCTGTCAGCACAAGGAAAGCCAGGAGAGTGTCTGGCTCCAGGACTCAGCCTCCTGCCTAGTGTGCTCAGAAGGTGTCTGTGGAGTGCCATCTCTGTTGATGGCATCAGCTTGGTACCTGTAGCTGGTACATCTCCTTTGTGAAATCACTACCTTGGGAGCAGACCATTCTGAATACATATGAGAAAAAACAGGCTGTGCATTGCAGAGATTGGTGGTGACAGACTGGTTCTCCATAGACCTAGGCTACCCTTCACCCTTTTTCCCGAGCGAGGGCCTGGAATGAAGGCAGTTCCCCTCTGTCCCTGGAGCCTAGAGATTTCCTGTGGCTCCCTGAGGTGGAAGAGACTACGAGGGCAGCTGCCCCGAGCAGCTGTGTGTGTGCAATCTGGCTCCTCTCAGGCTTTCTCCGGTCTCTCCCGTTGCACTGCGCCTTATCCCTCGGCTAGCCAGGCAGCCTCCCCACTCGGTGGATGAGTTTGGAGTGGCTGGTGTGACGTTTTTGTGATTAGGGCAGCTTGTGGTGGCCAAGGTGGCAAACTAGGTTTTGAGGGCACACTCTCGGCCTTGCCCTGTGGGAATGTAGGCCAGACTCAGCAAGCCATGTCCCACTACATCTTCCGCTTAGAAGGAAGGGCCAGCTGCCAGTTGAATCAGCCACTAGTCCATAGTGCAGTCTTACAACTGTGTGAAGCCAGGAAATTGTCTATGAGTAGAGCCGGAACAGAGCTCCGGTCAATAAGAACCTATAGGGGGTTGAGCTATGCCCAGAGACTGGGGGAATTACCCCAGGAGTGGGCAAGGGAGAAGGTTGGCTGCTGTTTTTAGAGTTCCACTGCCCTGACCAAGTTTCCTCATTCTTAATGTATAGTGTCCGTCCCTTATGTAATAGTGGTTTCTGGCCCAAAGTGAGACTGTCCTTTCAGTTGGAGAAGGGTACAAAGGTAGGCCAGGTGGAAAGGCCAGAAGTGCTGATTGCCCAGCCATTGGGACGACATATTCTTGCCCCCCCTCCCCCTCCCCTAATGGAGCCAGAGGGAAGACTGGCTGATGGGTGTCTGTGGACTGAGGATATAGTAGGGACTGGTGCTCCCACCTCCCTCTGGCCAAAGATGGGGCTCTGCCCGCTGTGTGCCTGTCACCACCCACAAGCAGTCATATCCTTGGCTTCCCAGATGGAGAGAGGGCAGACGAATTTTTCATTTTTAAAGAAATGAAAACAGGAAACTATTATGTTGGGGGAGGTGGGAGGGGAGATGGGAGAACGGTTTGGATTTTTTGTGTGTGTGTTTGTTTGGGGTTTTTTTCTTTTTTTTTTTTTTTCTTGGTAGTTGTCTGTAACTTCCCTTAAGTGCTTTTTTTTTAAAACTTTTTTTTTTTTAAGTAAGCTGCAGGCTTTGGCTTGGAAAACCCCAAGAGGGTGGGGGGCAGAAACTTGAGGCTGCTGCCCCTTTATCTGCCTTCATGGTTCTGTCCCCTTCCCCCAGCTCTCCCCTGACCCCATAAGCCAGGCCTCAGACCTTCCAGCTAACTGCTTCCCATGAGCCACTACTCTGTTGTCAGCCTATAACCAAAGGAGCTGGGGGTCCGGGCCTGGTGACCAACCCTTCTCAGCCCACTCAATCAGGGTGCTCCCCACCTGCAGGCAGGAGGCAACACCCTATCTGCTACCATCAGCCCCTTCCAGAGCCCACTGCCCCGCCCTGCCCTGTCCAGCCCAGCCATACCCTGCTCTGCCCCATCTGGGGATGCTCTGCTCAGGGATGGGCCGGTAGGGCTGCCCCAGCCTCCCTGGTAAGCAGAGACTCTGGAAACCTCTGGGGTCCTGTTTTCTGGCCATGTCATCCCAAGGGTGCACATGGGCCCCTTGGGTGTCTGAACAGAGGGCATGGGAGGGAGGGCCGCACCCCTGCAGTCCTGCTCTGCTGGTCTGGCGGGCAGCTGCCCACCGCACCCCGCACCGCGGGCTCCTGAGTCGGCAGATTAAGCATTTTATAAATTGTATTTTAAATACATGTTTTAAACTTGTCAGAGCCTTGTCCTCATTTTAGTCCTTGGCCTCCTAACTTGCTGTGGCTGCTTATTTAACCACTGGGAGCTGCTTCTGCTCAGTCCCAGGGAGGGGCTCTTTCTTTTTCTCAGAGAAGTAGGTCTGGGGTGGTGTGTGTGTTGGGGGGCAAGGAGTCTCGCCCTCAGGCTCCAAGGGAAGGGGGCCTCTAGGTCCTGGGGCTCCGTTGGTGAGAGCATGGGTGAGGCGCTTGCCTGACCTTCCACGGGGTCTGCCCCTTTTCAGGATCACGGTCTTTCCCAGGCACTTCCCGAGCAAGCGGAGAGAGTTCCTGCCCTTGTGGGGCCCCTAGTCCGAAAGGAAAACCTCATCTGAGGTGAATCGCAGCCCTGTCCTTTGAGAGTGCACAGAAGAGCACCCAGGGCCAACTTGAGTCAGAGGCCTGACCCTGGGCAGGGTTTTGAGGTGCATCTTGCTTTAGGGGTTCCCACGCCTGAGGGAGGCTGGGGCCCTGTGCCCTGAGAGCCCAGTGGAGGAGTGAAAACCGGGGGTGGGGGGGCTTCGCTGGCACCAGGATCTCAAGGAAGCAGGTGAGCGCCCAGAGAGCAGGGGCCCCAGCACCACCCAAAAGGCTGAGGTTCCTGGTGTTTATTGGCCTTCTGGGCCACAAAAGCCAAGTCCAGCAGCGGTCCCTGCCCGGTGACGTATCTGTCTGCAGGCTTTCAACAGCCATCCACAGTCAGGGGTCAGTGGGTTCGAGCTGGCACGGAGCTGAGCCACTTTTGGCTGTCGGAGCTGTGGTCCCTAGGGGGAGAGGAGGGGGAGACGGTGGGAGGAGACGAGCCACCCCAAGTGCCTGAGGGGAAAGGAGGCCTTTGGGAAGTGGAGAAGCCACCAGTCAACTTGGGGGGCCTGATTCCAAGTCCTGTGTTCCTTTATCCCCAAACAGCCAGAAGGGCAATGCTGTAGGGGAAGCTTCCTCTGCCCAGATGCTAAGTCTGTTTCCTGCTACTCCTAACATGGACCCAGACTTGGGCAAAGGACTTCAGTCGTAAAGCCCTTGATGGGCAGGCAGTGCCAGCCTGAGAGAAAGACTGTGTCATTGAGCCCTGGGCACAGGAAGGCGTAAGTTAAGTACCCTGACTTAGGAACAATCTACTTGGTGCACAGACCCTCAACAAAGGTTTGGGGTTTTCCCCCTTTTGGGTCCCTGTAGCAAGAATCTCCCATTTCTTGGAAGGCTGGATTCTCAGGTTAGGCCAAGGGCCTAGGAAGGAAGGAGGTGGATGGGCCTGGGCTGGGGCCGCTGCTCTTCAGACACCTACCTGCTTCCTCGAGATCCTGACTGAAAGAAGAGGCTGTGGATGTCAGGGCCCAGGTTGATGGGGGTGCACTGGTCCAGAACGTAGTGGCTGCCCTGCTTCCGGCCGACAGTCTTCTCCAGCCTCGGGCAGAGTGGGATGCAGGGCACCTGGGCATAGGGGCTCTGCAGGTTGGCAGCTGTCGAGGGAGGAGACGGCAGGAGAGGGAAATGCATGAAAATATACCAGCCTTGGAAGCAGGCAGACCTGGTGAAATTCTGGCTTTGCCACACACAACGAGCTGGGTGGGTTTGGGCAAATCCGCTTTCCCAGCCTCTCTGTAAGCTGGAGATAGTGGTACCCACCTCCAGGTGGATGGTGAGGATTAAAGGGATAGTGCATGCAAAGCACTCAGCTGAATGCTGAGCACAGTGTGAGGGCTAATAACCACTTAAGAGAGAAGGTGTCTTGTGACGGGTCCTGGCAAAGTCTGGTAGGCACACTCTGGACTCTGGAAAGCTCCTAGCCCATCATTCGGCCCACGGTGGGAGTCTAGTAAATAGTAACTACTATTATGGGGAGGCTGCCTCACCCAGTGAAGAGGACACAGGTTTTGGAATCAGACCTGGGTATAAATTCCCTTTTCTAACATGCGGAAGCTTGAGCAAGTTGCTTAGACTTACCTGGTTAGTTATCTGTAAAATGGGGTAAATATGAAATTACGGGGATTAAATTCTAGCACATCTGCAAAGGACCTAGCACAGTGCGTGACTCCACTGGGTGCTCAATAAATGATGAGCTGGGATCACTGATGCCTTCTCAGTCCTGGCCCTTGGGACCAACCAACCTGTGGTCAGGGCTGAGACACTGGGAAGAGTCTGCAGCAGGCCTCTGTCAGAGGGCTGAGGATGGCGTAATGATTATCAGCCCATTGACTGATGCACACAGCCAACCCCGAAAGGGGAAACCGTGTCTGTCAGCTCTTCGTTCGGGCTGTGTGGGGACCCAGGGAAAGGCGCCACATGTGCAGGAGGGCAGAGTCCCCACCTTGTCCAGGGCCCTCACCATAGTTCTGCTGCTTCAGCCGGCTCAGGATTCTGAGGACCCTTCGTTCTGGGACTTCCAAGATGTTTGCCTGCTGCGGGTTGTAGGGAAGCTTCTTCCGGGACCGCTGCTGGCCTGTGGCCGATTCCATCTCTCGGGCTTTACATGTGCCTTCCTTCAGCTTCTTCTGGTAATAGCTGGAGAGGCAGTGCCCAGCCCGGCCTGGCCGTGACTCACCCACCCTCCTCCTCCCTCACTCTCCCCTCAGTTCCGTCCGGCCAGCTCTGGAGCATGAACACAGGCCAAGGCCCAGCAGTTGGGAGACCTGGGTTCTATCCAGTCCCCACTCTGCCATTAACTTCCTGTGACATGGGCAAGTCATTGCTCTGCTTTGAGCCTCAGTCACAGTCCTCCCTATGTAAAGTGGGGGGAAATGGTTATCTCGTTCCTGTTACTGCAAGTCCTTGACTTCTCTAAGTTTCAGGTGTCCCCTGGGTGAAACGGATCAAACAGTCCACATGTTACAGGGTTAAATAACAAGGCCCATTGTCCTCCTGCAAACCGAAAGGTTGCCTGTTTGATTCCCACTCAGGGCACACGCCTGGGTTGCCAGCCAGATCCCCGGCTGGGGTCATGCAAGGGGCAATGGGTTGATGTTTGTCTCCCTCTCTTCTCCTCCCTCTAAAAATAAATAAATAAAATATAAATAAATAAATAAACAAGGCCCAGCAAGCACTCAGCAAGCGTGTGGCCCATGGGAAGAGCTTGGTAAATAAATGTTACCTTTGATTTCTGTCACTGGTGGTATTATGGTACTATGGTACTTAGATATGCAAGTATTTTAGAAGTCAGCTGTGCAATTAACTCCTGCTGGTCTTCCAGACTTCAGTTTAAGGGCTATCTCCTCCAGAAAGTTCTGGCTCCTCCTGCAGACCAGCTAGGCTCCCATTGTGGGTCCCCATAACCTGTCCTTACTCCATTGTAACCCACAGCTCACTTTATTTTAACACATCACTAATTGCCTTTTCTCCACTACACTGCACCCACCATTCATTCATTCAACAAATATTCATGGAGTATTGACTGTGCACTGGCCACTCATCTAAGTACTTGGGAAAGAGTGTGCAGGGTACATACTCATATAGGATCTCTTACCCTAGCCCCTTGGCCCCACCTCTCTAGCCACTGCCCCAGCAACCACTGGCAGCAGCTTTGCTCAGTCAGCACCTTAAGCCTGAGCCCCTTGCTTCCTGCCCTAGAGCTTCTCTGACCCATGTGCCACCCAGAAGTGTAGGGGAACTCAACACCTTGTAGGGGGCCACCTTTGGCCAAAGGCGCTAGCAGCTGAAGTATACAGGCTTTTCTCTTTCTTCCCCTGAGTTCTGAACCCTGTTCAGAGTCTGCTCAGAAGGTCCTGGGCGTGGCTGACTCACCAACACATCCTGGTACTGGCTGCTCCTCCTTTGCTGTTCAAGTCCCTCCCCCATGCCCGTTCCCTGCTGTTACTTTCTAAATCAACTACCTAGGCCCATATCTAGTAGGAGAGTCAGACCATGAGCAAGAGAATAAAACAATACCACGTCAGTAGTGATGGATGCTCTAAGGGAAAGTCAAATCTGGGTAGGGGATAGTGATGAGGGTCTATTTTGAATCTTGGAGGTGGTGGCATTTGAGCAGAATGAGGGGAGGGAGCAAGCCAAATGGATAGCTAGAGGGAGTGGCATGTGAAAAGGCCAGGAAGTTACAAAAGAGCTTGGTGACCTCTAGGAATAGCAAGGAGGCGTGTGAGGGAGAGGGCAGATGTGGGCAGCAAGATGGCAGAGCCAGCCTGGGGCTTTGTAGGCAGGGGCGTTGGGAAACCATTAGAGTTTAAGCTAATGGTTCTGTAAGGGCCTCTGCCTATCCCTGGGGCCTGGGATTTGGGGGTTTAATGGGCTTCACACACAGAAAATAGAAAATGAACACTAGAGCCCTCACATGGAGATTGGATCTGCACCCCTGTGTAAAACTGGAGCCTGAAAAGGCAATGCACCAGAAAAAAGACGGCCTAGAAAACAACTTCACTGCACAGGGGCCAGGAGAACGTGAGCTGTGCTCGCACAACTTTCACGGTCACAATTATAAAGGGAATCACTGCTTTTCACCTCTTTTTCCCCGCCCTTTGTGCTTGAGTTCAGGTGTGTTGCTGGTAACTTAGTTTAGGATTGACCTAGGGAATGGTGGACAATAAATCAGAAAGAAACTGGGTGCCTCGGGGGACCTTGTCTTCCTGCCTGCCTCCTCCAGGCTGTCAGTGTTAGAGAGGGATAAACTATCTTGTTTGAACTATAATACATGGGGTCAATTCCTTAACTAAGACACCGAGAATTCTATACCCAGCTAACGTATTTGGCAAGTTTGAGGGTAGAATAAACACTTCAGCAGGCCTAAAAATATCACCTCCCACACATCCTTTCTCAAGAAGCTACTAAAGAACACGTGTTCTTCCAGAATGAGTGCATAAGCCAAAAAAGAAAAGGAAGATATACATACAGAAATCGGGATCTAACACAGGAGAGAGGCAAAGATAAAGGAAGACAAAGGGAGATCCCACAAGGGCAGTACAGCTGCCACATAGCGACAACCAGTTTAGATCGGATCACTGTAGCTTAAACAACAGAAGTTTCAAGGGCTGATATTACTGTGCCTGTTGTTGAATTTTTCTCTGTCTTACTTTTTTATTTTTTAATTTTCTTTCTTTCCTTACCTGAGGACATGTTTATTAATTTTAAAGAGGAAGAAAGAGGAAAAGAAACATCGATGTGAGAGAGAACCTTCAATTGGTTGCCGCCCTTGAGCACCCCAACCGGGGACTGAACCTGCAACCTACGTATGTGCCCTGACTCAAGCCCGCAACCTTTTAGTGTACAGGATGATGCTCCAACCAACGGAGCCACCAGCCAGGGCGCAAAACAGACTTTAAAAGAGCCTATGTGATCAATCACTATTTTTGCTGCACTTACATAGTCAAGTCTAGTTTAATGAGACTAGGCTTATTTTTACAAACAAATTAGTCTCTGATTAGCTTTGATAAAGATGGAAGTGATTATAGAGAAAAAATTTCTATGTTTCAATAAAAACTGTATTGCACCTTTGTGGATTGTTGAACAGTGTCATGGTTCCTGACTTTGCGCTTTCTGTCCCCTTTATAAACTAACTTTTGCCATATTTTGTCAGTAATTAACATTTCCAGTTTTGCTTCTACCCTCCAGACTTGGCATCACTAAAAACTAGATTGCCCTTTTCTCAAAGCCCTGCAAGCTAAAGTTGAATGAGTGAATATAAACTTTCCCCCCAAGTCACAACAGGTCATGTATAAACAATCTCTGTGCCTGCAATGGCACGGGCCATTCTCTTGTTCACTGGACTAGCCCATCACCCAGTGCCATTACCAAAGCCATTCAAACTGCAGGCCAGGAAATTGGACAGATTGCCGCTGCCTGTCCTCGCTCCACCATCTAAAGGTGCTTTCAGCCCAAGGGGAAAAAATCTCCTTGACCCACTGTCTTCTGGACTCAGAAACTGAGTTTACGATTTGCATGAACCATTAACTTCTGTTTCTCTCTTGTCTCAAAGGGACGGCCCTCATTAAATGCTCGGCTGCTCACACCTCACGCGGGCCTCGCTGGTGTGGTGCCCTGCTCCCACCTGCTCCGAGCCTCTGCAAGTGCGCCACAAGCCTGACCCAACCACTCTGCTCTCAGGACCAGCAAGAGGCTGATTCAAGAAATACAGGACAATGTGCTCAGAAACGTCCTTTTCTGCTTGCTCCAATCTATGTTTTCCTCCCCCTCTTACAGAACTCTTAGCTTGAATTTCTCTCCACAGCCACCAACTAAGCTTTTAACATGTGAAATTTCTAGGGAAGTTTTGGGCGGGGGCGGGGGTGGGAACGGGGGTAAAGAGGACAAAAGAGTTCAGGACAGGCCACTCCAAAATAGGCTACTTTGGTGTACTGATTGTTTTGTGTTAAAGGCACTTGAAAAACAGCAGGTGCAAACAGGGCACCCTGACCTTCCTTTTTCTGAAAGCTGGAGGAAAAAATTCCCACATGACAGGTGCCCTCCCTGTGCCAAGAGGAAGAAACATTCTTTTTTTTTTTTTTTTAAATCCTCATTTGAGATTATGCTTATTGAGAGAGAGAGAGAGAATGCACCCTGACCAGAGATCGAACCTGTAAACTTTTGGTATAGGGACAACACTCCAACCAACTGAGCCCCCAGCCAGGGCACTTAAGCTAGTCTTGTTTGGGTTTCCTTCACGTGCCGTTAACAGTCCTCTAATTACCAAAAGTCCTCAGCTGCCAAAACACTAGGTGCCATTTCTGTGTCCCCAACCCTCCACCTCCAACAGCCAGCCCCACTCACTCAGTGATCTCCTCTAAGGCTGCCTCGGGTAAGGCCAGCATCTCCACCAGCAGGGACAGGATCTCAAAGAGCAGAGTGTGGGGATTCGGGGGAGCCATGTCCGTCGAGGCGCTCTGTTCTGGGGACATGGGATGGTGGCTGCCGTTACAATTTGCTAGCCCTGGGTGCTCCCCGCCCCCAACCACCTGTTCCCTCCCCCAGCTCTGACCGTCCTGGGTTCATCCCTGCTCACCCATGGAGCAGAAGAAGCGCTTGGTATCCGTCATTACGGCCAAGAAGTCTTTGAAGCCCACGTGACCATCTCCTGTGGAGGCCAGAAGAATACGGGGTGTCCAGGGGCCTTCCAGGGCGGCTTCCGGCATTGCAACCCCGGCATGATTATTAACATATATTCCTTGGGTTTGATGATAAAAGTAGCACATACTGAATGCAGAAAGCATGGTGCACACAGGGAAGTAGAAAGCAAAAATTAAAATGTCCTGGGCTAGAAACCACAGAACTTGAGTTCTTCAAGGCAGACGTCTGGGTTCATATCCCAGGTCCACCACTTGCTACTCGTGTGGCCTTGGCAAAGTCTCTTAATGCCACTAAGCCTTAGTTTTACCATCTATAGGGAAGTAGTATAGTTTATATGGTTATCTATCTATAGAGGATAACCGTAATCCCTATCTCATGGGAGATAAAATGAGGCAAAGTGCTCAGAACAGGGCCATGCATATAACACATGCTCCCCAAATAGCAACTATTGTTAGTATTACCACGTGCTAGTCACTGCATGGGAATACATGTGTACACACAAGAGTCCCACCTGGGCCCTCCAGGCCCTGCTAGACCTGCCTGTTACCTGCCTCCAGCCTCTCCTAGGGACAAGTTCCTCCAGGACTAACCTGCTCTCCCATCAGGGGCCACGTTCTTCCCTGTTCAGGGCCTTTGCACATGCTGGTTTCTCTTCCTAGGTTTTTCTCCATCACCCTCCAACTCCTTCAGTTAACGCTTCCCCTGGACCATCATCCCTTCCTCAGAGAACTCAGAGCAGCCCAGGTCACATCCCCCATCAAACACTCTCATAAAATCCCTGTACTTCAATCACACACTCAGAAGATCTGAAATTTAATGGAGGTTCTGGGAGGCAGGAACGGGGCCTTTTTTGTTCTGCATGGTGCTCTCAGGGCTTAAAACAGCTAGGTCTTAGCCAATGTTCTCCGACTACCTGACCAAGGAATGAATAATCTATAATCTCTGTGGGGGCTCAATACTCTTATCTCCCTGTCACAGATGAGGCCTGAGGCCTAGAGGAAAGAAGCCTGTAGCTAGGGTCCTGTAGCCGCAGAGCTGGGGTCAATTCTTGGCTTGCCTGTGAACATTCGCACTTGTGTAGGGAGGGAGGAAGCAGTGGCCCGGGGCCCAAGCCCTCCACAACCCGCTGCTCGCCATGTCCTGTGTCTAGTAAACACAGCGAGTTCAACCGAACAAGCATGGTTGCGCTTGCCCTGCAGCCTCTCCCCTGTGTCCAGGTAATCTCTTCCACCAGGAATACCCCCTTTTCTCCCCCGTCTCCTTGCCTAACTTCTTCTTCATCTTTCACCATTTGACTCAGGCATAGTCTCTTCCTAGGAAGACTTCCTTCCTGATCCCTTGCTCCAAGCCACTTTAAGTGCTATTTCTTTTGGTGACTCTTAACTTGTGTGGCAATGTCTGTGTGAGCACCTCAAGGGCAGGTCGCGTGGGTCTCACGCATCTCTTTATTCTCAGTGCTCAGCACAGGGCTGGGCGCACAGGGGGCATTTTAATATCCAGTGGATGAATAGTACCAGCAGCTAATGTTTTCTGGATGTACTCTGTGCACCAGGTGTTTTGCTCAATGCTTTGCCTGGATTATCTCGTTAAACCTTTTCAGCAGCACAGCAAGATGGATACAGCTCCGGGGAGCTGTACAGATGGGGAAACTGAGGCTCGGTGAACTTCAGTGACTTTTCCAAGGTCATATGGTTGGTAAAATAAGTGACCAAGTCACGAGGGAATGTCCACTGAAGCACACCGGGGGCCTGAAAGTGAGAGATCTCAGAGATCATGTCCATCTTGGGGTCAGCAGGTAGGTCTTGGTCATTTCCAAATCCCCAGACCCTGGCACCGAGTGGGTGCTCAGAGGGTATTAACTTTTAGGGCCAGGATAAGCTACATAATTTGTAGGGTCCAGTGCAAAATGAAAATATAGAAACTATTATTAAAAGTTTCTAGCCCTGACTGGTGTAGCTTAGTGGGTTGGGCATCATCCTGTAGACTGAAAGGTCACCAGTTCGATTCCCCATCAGGGCACATGTCTGGGTGGTGGGCCATGCCCCCTGGTTGGGGGCATGTGAGAAGGTACTGAGTGATGCTTCTCCCTCTCTCTCCTCCTCCCTTCTCCCCTCTCTAAAAATAAATAAACAAAATCTTTTTAAAAATTTCCTAGACTGCGACAGTGGAGCATTAGACCAAGGGCAGGGCCTTTTACACTCGGAGTCCCGTGCAGCTCACAGGCCTCACACTGCTGTGGAGCCTGCCCCCACTCACCGTCAACGTCAGCGCTCACCAGGGCCTCCTCCACCTGGGCCGGCGTCAGGGAGATGCCCACGAGGAGCAGGATGTTCTCCAGGCTGCGTGCGTCCACCTCGCCGTGGCCGCTGAAGATCTCAAAGTAACTGTGGAAGGCTGGGGCAGGCAGTGGGGTTATGTGACGTGGGGACATGTCTTGTTTTTAGCATTCATCTCATTCCCCTCCCCACCACCCCCTTGCCCAGGGTCCTCTACTAGCACGGCTGGGTGGAGGGACAAAGGAACCAAAAGAGGGAAAGAGGAGGGGTGCGGTCCCATCGCCTTACTCCGCTCTCTACATAAGGTCAGGCCAAGGGCTCAGCTGGTGTGGCAAAGGCCAAGCTAATTAGCACTCTTCGCTCTGCACGAGGAACACCCCTCCGTGTGCCAGGCCCTGTGTGAAGCTCTTTATAGCCACGTTCTCATTTAATTCTCACAAACGGCCTTGGAAGAGTAGGATGCTTGTTTCTGTTGTAAAGCTGGGGAAACTGAGGCTCAGAGGTTAGGTCATCCACAAGACAGGTCTTTCTTTCAGTCTGCACCCTTGACTTTGGTGCCCTGTGGTCCCTTCCCTGCGTGAACATGGCTTCTAGGGTAGCTTCTATTGAACTCTGCTCAAGGAGGCGGGGCAGAGGGTTCTGTACTAAGACAAGCCCCTCCAGCAGTGGCCGGAGGGCTTTAATGCTGAAGGGCGTGAACGTCAAGGATGGGGTCAGAGCATGTATTCAGGGAAGGCGGAAGAAGGGGCCACTGTGGTGAAGAGCGCCCCAGATTTCGGGGAGGAGTGAAGGGCGGAGCAGGATGCACACCTGCTCTTTAGGGCCAGGGCGCGGTGTGGCCAGGCTGGCAGTGCGCGCGGAGGGCTGATTCGGGACCTCTGGAGCCCACAGGAAACAGCCATCACTGCCCTTTGCCCCTGAACACCAAGGGTGGGTGTTCAGAACTTTTACATTTTTGCGTGGCTGTAGGATGGGGTAAGAGATGGGGCCCTGCCTCCCACCCAGGCGGCTCCTAAAGACGATCTAGGGTGTGCCTGGTGGGGAGAGGCCAGAACGCCTCTAGAACCTGGGCAGGCTTGCTCCAGCTACTCAGCGAGGAGGCCGTGGAACTGAAAAGCATACTAGACCCCAAACGATAGGACCCAGCATGAGGCCTGGCCCTCCACCCAGCAGTGTGTGAGCTTGGTCAGCCTCCTACACTGCACTGTCCCCTAGCCAGGTGACCCACTGGGTCCACTCACAGGGCTGGGGTGGGCACAGGGCAGCGGTATGATCCGAACCCACCCCAGGTCTATGAACGCCAAGGCCTGAGGGCTCGGCCTGGCCCTGGAGAGCCCTCCCTGGCCAGGCCTGCCCCCACCTTCCTCTTGCTGCGGGGTGAGGCGCTCCTCGGCCGGCTCCTCCCAGTTCTCGCCCAGCTGCAGGTGGCAGCCTTCCTCCAGCTCCTGCCTGCAGAGGACAAACTGGGCTGGGGCACGGGCCAGCCACCCGCCCCTGCCGCAGGCTGCGGCCCGAAGCAAGGGAAGGCAAGGGGGCAGCAGGGCACAGGAGGTCACGGGCGGGGCCCTGGGGGAGGCCTGGAGAGGTCAGGAGAGGCTGAGTGACCCAGAGGAGGGGCGAGGCAGAGGTGAGGGGGATGAGAAGAGAGCTACTGTTGCGGGGCAATAGAGAAAAGGGTCAGAGGTGGGAAAGGAGAGCTGGATATAGGGACGCAGGGCTGGTAGAGGGGACACAGAAGTGAGGAGCAATGAAGAACGGGACACACAGAGGAAACATGGATGGGGACAGGGACAAGGCGACAGAGGCTCTGATCCTGGACACCCTCCTCGGGGTGGCTCCTACCGTGCCTTGGCGTGGCTCAGGCTCTTCTCGCTGCTCTGGTGCAAGACTGCTGTCTTTCTCCAGCCCAGCTCCTGGGTGGGCGCTGGCAGGACCGCGACAGGCACAGAGCCTGGGACAGGGGCCGCTGCAGGGGCAGGGATCGACCCAGGGGCTGGCAGCCGGGCCCAGGATGGGGCCACAGCAGGGGCCGAGGCTGGGGCCTGAGTCGGTGCCAGGGGCAGACTTGGGGCTGAGGTGGGCACAAGGGTCAAGGTCCTGGGGGACTTCCGGTTTGGCGGGGCTCGAGCCTTGGTGGCCCTTCGATGCGAGGCCTCCTCCTCCTCCACCTCCAGAAGGCACTTCATGAAGCCCTGCCAGCTGTTCCCGAGGTTCTGGGCACCTGTGGTCTCTGTGGACTCCTGAGGCTGCTTCTGGGCACAGTCCTCCTCCTTCCTCTCTCCCATATCCCTCACCTCCTGGGGACAGGACGGGGGTGGAGAATTGGGGAGGCCTCCAGACAGCCAGACTGTCCCACAAAGTTTCTTTGTGCCACCCACTCTCCAGGGCATCCTCACACTGCCTCTTCCTCTCTGGGCCCCTGGAGGATGTCCCCTAAATCTCACATGCATCCCACCCGGCTCCCACCCCATGTGCTCCCTTGCACTTGGCCTGGGCTCCGCCGCCTCCCGGCTCCCCGAGCTGCGGTCCCGCCGCTCATTCATTCCCATCACTGCAATCAGCACAGCCTGCCATGGGCTGGCCACACGTAAGCTTCATGAGGGCAGGGACCTTGTCTGTTCTCTACCCAGCACTCCGCATATGGCGGCCACTCAGTAAATTCCCACTCATTCATTCAGCAATCGCTCCACCTCCTGCATCTGTCCCTCCCGTTACAGGGAGGGCTGTCCTCGGCCCATCCCCAGCCAGGCCATGCCCTGCAGGCTCCGGCCCAGTCTTTTCATCCTAAAGATGTATGTAGCTCTTGTCACACACACGCCCTCTCTTCCTAAAACATCAGCTCTGTTTTCCCACCAGACTGGTCCCATCAGCATGTAAGCAGGCCATGTTATCTTCCCCCTTTAAAAGATAAAACATTCTCCTGATGCGACGAATGCCTCCAGCTACTATCCAGTTCTCTGCTTTTTCTAGAGCAAAATTCCTTGAAAGACTTGGCTGTGCTCCATCTCTACTGTCTTCCCATCTCCAATCAGGTTTCCATGCCCCCCACCCAGAGCTGCCCTTGCAAGGCCACAGTCTGGTGTCTGCCCTCCTCACGGTCCACCCCTCGGCAGTAATGGCCACAGATGACCGCCCATCCTTCTGGAAATGCCTTCTCCTCTAGACTCAGGGGCTACTCCTTCCTGGTTTCCTCTGGCTCTTCCTGACTCTTCCATCTCCAAATGCTGTGGATGGAGCACCAGGGACTTGTCCTCGGGCTCCTTCCTGTGCTAAGTTCCCTCTCTCCTAGAGGCTATCTCCCTTGTTCTGACATTTACACCTCCAATCCCGACTCCTCTGTCCTGCCTAACTCCAGATGTTCTCTGTGACATTTCTTCTGGGGTGTCTAGAATAGGACCAAAGCAGAACTTTAGGTTCCTCCCGCGTGCTCCTTCCCCAAGGTCACCACCCTGGTCGAGGACACCACCTATTGCTCAGGCCCCAGACCTAGAGGCCTTTTTGATCCCTCGTTCTCCCATTTTCCCACCATGCAGCCCATCAGCAAGTCCTGCTGCCGCATCCCCCAACTCTGCTGCTACCACCCTGGTCAAGTCATTCCACCATCTCCTGTCCAGTGTGCTGCCACCGTCTCTGCCCTTGACCCCTGCCCAAGTTCATTATCCACCCAGCTGCCGCATCAGTGTCTCCAGATTACCCCAGGTCATCTCATCTCTTGCCTAAAACTCTTCAGTGGCTTAGTGTAGAATTAGAATTCACTCTAAACCCTCACCCTGGACTTCAGGGCCCTGGGTGATCTGCCCCCCGACACGCCTCTAACTTCATCTCCCCTCCTCTCCCACCCTGGCTTCCTTCCTGACTCTGGTCTTCTTGCTGGACTTGGTCTTGACAAGCTCATGTCCATCAGGGCTTTGCCACTGCTGCTGGGTCTGCCCAGAATGTTCTCCCCAATCTGTGCTTGGCTTGGTTCTTTTTGTCTTTTGAGACTTAACTCAAATGTTACCTTCTGGATGGCTGAGCGCTCCATCAGGGGATATATCGTCTCCCTCCAAGTCCCTCCTCTTGTCCGCTGGACTGGCATCACTGCTGTCTACAGACAAACTAGTTATCAGTTCACGTGTTAACAGTCTCTCCCCTAACTAGATCGTAAGCTCCGTCCAGCCTTAAGTCCCCAGTGTCATGACTGGCACATTGTCTTCAATAAATTTGTGTTAACCGATGACTCTGATTATGTCCTTTTTCTCAGTGACATCTGAGGAGCCAGTTCATGTGACTAAAGCACTTAGCACATACTAACTTTCGTTGAGAATTCTGCAGCCCAGGAGGGGGACCCTATTTCCCCCGCTAGACTCCTTTGACTGCTGTCCTGAGTTAAGGGCAAATGCTCAGCTTCTGTCAGGCTTCAAACAAACAAACATCAAAACCAGTTCTGGAGCTCTTACTCCGTGGTGGTGGGGAGGTCCCAGGTAGGGACCCCAGGTGGCAGCCATGAGTCTAGTCTGTCATCATCTCTCCCAAGGCCCTCAGGGCTGCCAAAGTCCGGGGCCTGTGGCCTCATCTCAGATCTAGATTCTGAGCCCTAGGAGGGTAGGGGTCTGTCCCAGAACCTGCTCAATTATTCCAGAAACCGGCACTGAGCCTATCTCCTTGCAGTTGCTCAGCTCAAGTGAAGGATGACGCCAAGGCCCCCCCATCTCTCCTTGATGACTTTCAACCCTTGCACATCTGGCTCCTCCCTCTTCCTTCCCTGAGCCCCTTCCACCCAGCATCACCTGTCTTGCACATGCTGCTGAACCGACCTCTGTGTAGCTCTTCTGCTGCCAGTGCCCTGCTACTCCTGTGCCTGCCGTGGCTCCCTGTGACCTTCAGACTCATCTTCCATCCACCCATACAATCAGTGGCTGGAGGGGAGTGTGGGCCAAGGGGCGTGTTTGCATTTGGTGTCTAATATTGTAGATAGTAACCCCTGTCTCTATGCTGATGGGACTGATCCTGTAGATATGGAGAGACTGATCATAAGGGAGAGAGGGGACAGAGGACAGGATCTAATGAATCAGTGGGGGACTAGCAGTTGATGGGGGCAGACACCCATCTTCATGGCCTCCATTATAACCAGGTGAAGGCAAGGGTGGTGGAGTTGGGGGTGGGAAGATGTGGTGGATGCTTCTCGCCCTTCGATGACACATGAGGCCAGATCATCAGCCCAGATGCACGGCATGGAGAGAGGTACTGTGAAGTGACTTCCTGGAGCCGAGGGAAGGGTGGCATGGCCAGGGAACAGCAGAGGATTGTCAGGAGCTTCTGACACTAGTGGTCATTGCTTGAGAGTGAAACCCATCAACAAGACAGGGTTTTTCTCCAACCGTGTTGAGCTGCTCATGCGCACGTGGAGGGTTAGTGGGTGGCTGGGCTTAGCCAGGGTTGGAGTGGCCAGTGGATACAGCAGAAAGGGGCATGGGCAGATGATGACTATGTGGTCACAGGATGCCAAGTCAAGTCCAAGAATTAGGAAGTGGCAGAGATGGCGGAAGTTGGGGGGTGGGGCACGGGATGGGAGGGAGTTGGAAGCCTCGCAGATGTTCAGGGAAGCTCTTGGTTGTATCTGTGACCCAGAGAAAATGTGTGGAAAAAAAATTATGCTGATGTAGAAAAAGCCACAACACGACCTGGGGCGAACCCAAGGGCTCAAGAGTGTAAGAGCATCATTGACCCTCACCCCAAAGGCACATACATGCACACATACACATATGCATATATGCCAATTCATGTGTACATGCATGCACAGATGTGTATACACTCACACAAAAACACAGGAACACACATATTTCCCAGTTTGACTCCAAATACTGTCCCATTTCTGCCTCTGTCCCCTTCCTCCTCCTGATCCTCTCACTCGTCCCTATGCCCACTCTGGCTCTACTTACAGGTGGAGGAACAGGCTCCGGTGCTGGCTTGGTCTCTACAGCCTTGAACCTAAACAAGGGGGAAACACCCCATGGGTGAGGGGCTCAGCTCAGGGCTAGCCCCTTGCACCTACCTCCTCTCAGCCCCCTGGACACTCATTCCCACCATCCCAGCCTCAGAGCCCCGGCCTTTGATTCTCAGAGGGCCTCCGCGCTCCCTCACATCCCCATGTGGGGACATGGCTCACAGAACAAAGAATTCTTATATTAGAGCTCTCATACAGATGGGGGAAATTCAGACCCAGAGACACACGACTTGCCCAAGGTCCTACATCTGGTCTGAAGCAGTCAGAATTAGAATTCACCTCACCTGTAACCTAGCAGAAGAGCAATCTGGCTGGGGTCAGGGAGTGGGGGAGGGGGCGGCATCAGAGGATGGCTCACCAGTCTTTGGGTGTGTTAGGTCCTGGCGTGGGCGGTGGGAAGGAGCTGTCAGTCTTTTCCTCCAGAGTCATTGAGGCCATTAGTGGCATTGCTTCCTGGGAACTGTCTTTGTCTCCCTGTGGGCCAGGCTCTGGCAGCACCCACTGTGGCCTAATGTGGGGGGTGCCTGCCTTCTTGGGGGGCTTGTCTTCCAATTGTTGTCCACAGCTGTCCAAGGTGCAAGAAGGCTCTGTTGCCTGCACTATATCTGACCCATCTTCTGCCTGGCGACCTGGGGTGGGCAGACACTCCAGCTGCTGCTGAGGACAAGGATACGAAAATGGAGAGCCCATCCTGGCTCCCAGGTGAACCTTAACACTTACCTGGAGACCAGTTATCACATGCGTGTCTGTCCAGATGCTGCGAGCGTCATCTGACTGAGCTCTCCCAGCACACCTAGAAGGTGGCACAAGTCAGTTGCCCCACTTTGAGGGAGGAGGAAGTTGAGGCCCAAAGAAGGCATGCATGGTCAACCCACAGTCGATCATGATCCCTGCTTCTCTGCAGAGGTAGAATGGGAGCCTATAGCAAGTGAAGTGATCCTCTGCAAACGGGATCCACCAAGGGATGTTTCAAAGGATAAGAATCCTTCATGAAACACCCTCAAAAGGAGATTTTTATACCAACTGACTTCAAGACTTACTATAAAGCTATTATAGCGAAGATAGCATTGTGTTGGGAACACAGTTTAGGCGGCTACCTGAACCTGTGACTCCCGCGCTGCAGCTCCTTTTTGCTCAAATAAATGCCTTTTACATATTTTGTAAAAAGACAGTGTGGGGTTGGAATAAGGATGGATAAATATATGGATGGAACAAAGTAGAGTCGAGAAATAGACTGACACTGATGTGGTCAACTGATTTTCAACAGGCGTGGAAATTCAGTAGAGAAGACTTCTGGTCAAGATGGCTGCATAGGCAGACATGGTTCGTCTCTTCTCATAATCACATCAAAATTACAACTAAAATATAGAACAACTATCACTCAGGAATGTCAGGAATCAAGCTGAATGGAAGCCTGACAACTATGGAATAAAAGAAATCACATCCATTCACACTGGTAAGAGGGGTGCAGGCATGGAACAGGCTGGTCCCACAACCACGTGGATAAAAATTCGGGAGGGATACCTCAGGAGCGAGGATTCTCAGCCTCATACCAGGCCCGCCCACCCAGGGTTCCCGTATCAGGAACATAAGTCCCCCACAACTTCTGGCTGAAAAAACCAGCAGGGATTGAGTCAGTGGAAGAAATTTCTGGAGCCCCAACAGCTCCTCTTAAAGAATGCACACACAGACTCACCTACTCAGACTGACTCCCTCTGAGCTCCAGCACTGGGATAGCAGCTTGAAAGGCACCAGTGGTATACAGGGAGAAACTGAAGTGTCTGGTTCAACGTGAGAAGAGGCCCTTGTCCATTTTCTAAAACCTCCCTCACAGAGCCTGCAGGCTGGTACCATATTTGAGACTGTATCAACATGGCTAAGACTGTTTGACCCACCTTGGAGATCCACAGAGGCTCTGCCCCAACTCAGCTTATGGGCCCACTCAAGCTGCTTTTCCATATGAATGGCTGGTCTTGGCTCCTAAATCCTATTAAACAAGCAACAGGTGGCTTCAGTGAGCCCTAGCAGCAGCCAGATTAGATTCACAGCTTGGCTTCACCTGGGAATCTCCAAGCCCAGCACAAGAAATGGCCATCTCAGATTGCTTTACAGCTCAGATAGGATGCCCCGGGCAAAACACGGGTGGGCGCTGATCTTGGCCTGTACCACCTGGCAAACTGCACGGCCAGTGCACCCAGTAGACAGCTACAGACCACCTCGGAGCACCACCGCCCTGTCCCCTGCACAGCTGATCCTTCATGGAGGGCAGAAGTTGGTGGTCAGTGGTCACAGCCAGTCCTTCCAGCTGACTGGCCTGGGTAAATCCCTCCCACTGACCAGCCAACAGCAACCAAATCTCAAGTATAAGAGGAGGGTGTACTTAGCTCGGGCACGGTGTGCCCGAAGTACCCATTTTGGGTGATGGGGAAGCTGTGCCACTGGACCCTACAGGACACCTATTACATTAGGCCACACTGTCAAAACATGGAGTCAAAGCTGCTCTACCTAACACATAGAAACAAACTCAGGGAGGCTGCCAAAATGAGGAGACAAAGAAACATGGCCCAAATGAAAGAACAGATCAAAACTTCAGAAAAAGAACTAAGCAACGAGGAGATAGACAATCTATCAGATGCACAGTTTAAAACACTGATAATCATGATGCTCACAGAAATGATTGTGTTTGGTCACAAAATGAGGTAAGAAATGAAGGCTATACAAAGTAAAATAAAGGAAAATATACAGGGAACCAACAGTGAAGGGAAGGAAACTGGGGTTCAAATCAATGATTTGGAACAAAAGAAGGAAATAAACATTCAACTTGAACAGAATGAAAAAAAAAGAATTTTTAAAAAATGAGGAAAGGCTGAGGAACCTCTGGGACAACTTTAAACGTTCCAACATCCAAATCACAGTGGTGTCAGAAGGAGAAGAGGAAGAGCAAGACATTGAAAACTTATTTTTAAAAAATAATGAAGGAAAACTTCCCCAATCTGGCAAAGGAAATAGACTTCCAGGAAGTCAGGAAGCTCAGAGAGTCCCAAAGAATTTGGATCCAAGAAGAAACACACCAAGACACATCATAATTAGGTTACCCAAGATTAAAGATAAGGAGAGAATCTCAAAGGCAGTAAGAGGAAAGGAGAGCGATACCTACAAAGAGTGCCCATAAGACTATCAGCTGATTTCCCAAAAGAAACCTTATAGGCAAGAAGGGGCTGGAAAGAAGTATTCGAAGTCATGAAAGGCAAGAACCTACATCCAAGATTACTCTATCCAGCAAAGCTATTATTTAGAATGGAAGGACAGATAACGTGCTTCCCAGGTAAGGTAAAATTAAAGGAGTTCATCATCACCAAGGCCTTATTATATGAAGTGTTAAAGGGACTTATCCAAGAAAAAGAAGAAGGTCACAAACTGTGAACAGTAAAATGACAACAAACTCACAACTATCAACAACTGAACCTAAAAAAAACAAAAACTAAGTAAACAACTAGAACAGGAACAGAATCACAGAAATGGAGAAATCACAAATGGGGAAAGGGGAAAGGTACAGGGAATAAGAAGCATAACTGGTAGGCACAAAATAGACAGGGGTCAGTTAAGAATTGTATAGGAAATGGAGAAGCCAAAAACCCTATATGCAAAACCTATGGCCATGAACTAAGGAGAGGGGGAATGCAGGAGGGTGGGGGGTAGTACGGGGCAGAGAGAAATATCGCTATGTGAGAGAGAAACATGCACCTTGACCGCGAATCAAACTTGTGATAAAGGGGAGAAAAAACTTGGGACAACTGTAATAGTATAATCAATAAAATATACTTAAAAAAAGAGAGAATCCAAAGAAACAAGGATAGTGTAAACAGCCTGTGGAACAACTTTAAGCAATCCAACATTTGCGTCATAGGGGTGCCAGAAGGAGAAGAGAAAGAACAAGACATTGGAAATCTATTTGTTTCATTGGAATGAAACAAAACTTCCCTAATTTGGTGAAGGAAATAGCAATGCAAGTCCAAGAAGCACAGAGAGTCCCAAACAAGATGTCTGCAAAGAAACCCACTCTAAGACACATCCTAATTAAAATGACAATGGTGGCCCTGGCTGGTGTGGTTCCATTGATTAAGCGCCAGCCTGCAAACCAAAAGGCTGCCAGTTTGATTCTCGGTCAGGGCATGTGCCTGGTTTGCAGGCCAGGTCCCCACTTTGGGGGCGTGTGAGAGGCAACCAATCGATGTATCTCTTACACATTGATAGTTACTCTCCCCCTCTTTCTCCCTTCCTTCTCCTCTCTCTAAAAATAAATAAATAACATCTTAAAAATAAAATGCAAAGGTTAAAGATAAAGATATCGGAGGGGGTGAGATAGAATGGGCAAGAGGTGAGGGGATTGCGAAGTACAAATAGGTAGTTACAGAATAGTCATGGAGATATAAATTACAGTATATGAAAAGGACCAAAGACCTTAAATGCATGACCCGTGAACATGAACACGGATCAGGGGATTGCCTGAGGGAATGGTGGGTGCTGGGTGGAGGGGAGAGAACAGGGAAAAATCAGGACAACTGTAATAGCATAATCAATAAAATATCACTTAAAATAAATAGATAAATAAAAATAATAAAGTAATGGGCAAAGTATTTCAATAGACATTTCTCTGAAGGTATACAAATGGCCTGTGAGCACATGAAAAGATGCTCATCATCATTAGTCATTAGGGAAATACAAATTAAGACCACAATAAGGTTCCACAATACCTCTATTAGAATGCTTTGAATGAAAGAGAGGAACCATACCATTCTGAGCCGGGGAATGTGTGGAGCTGCTGGAATTCTCAGACATTGTTAGTGGGAATGTAGAATGGTGCAACCACTTTGGAATAAAGTTTGGCAGTTTCTTCATAAGTTAAACATACACATACCATATTGTCCATTCCACTCCTAAGTATTATTTGCCTAAGAGAAATGAAAGCATAGGGCCATGTGGACATGACTGTTTTTTTTGTAATAGCCAAAAAGTGGGAACAAACCAGGTGTCCATCAATAGGTGCAGGGATAAAGAAATTGTGATACATCCATACAATGGAATGTTACTCAGCAACAAAAAGAATAAAATATTGACCCACGCAATAACACAAATGAATCTCCAAATAATTTGGAGCCAGACAAAAAGAATGAATATGGAATGCTTCATTTGTGTAAAATTTTAGGAAATACAAACAAATCCATAGAGACAGAGTGCAGATCAGTGGCTGCCTGGAAACGGCAGGTGAGGGGCGGGGAAGGATAAAGGGGCACGAGAAAACTTCTGGGGGGTGATAGGTACGGTTATTTTCTTGATTGTGGTGATGGTTTTGTGGGTGTCTATACGTATGTCCAGAATATCAAATTGTACACTTGACGTATGTGCAAGTGTATGTCAATTATACCTTCCTGAAGCTGTTTAAAAACACAAAATCTTTAACACAAGTAGAAAGGTATTTTGAAATCAAATAAGTTTGGAAGAGACACCATACTCTAACCAGCTCTTACAAGTCCCACGGGGCTAAGACGCAGCTTCTGGGGCATCCTGGCATAAAGAAACCAGTTCGAGCTTTGTTAAACCCAGCCTGTCCCAATTCTAATTGCAGGCAGAGCCCCGCCACCTGCTCCCTGCCTCCAGTACCCATTGACATACCACAGGGCCACCTTCGAGACGAGTCTAAAAGGCTTGCTGGGGACAATCAAGACCATCCAGAATTAGGTCAGTAACCCACACGGACTGTGTGCGTGACATCTCCAGGCACAGAGAGGAGCAGACACAATGCACCAGAATTGGTTGCGGGAGGTGGTTGGTCCTTGGTCTCCCTATGGGTCAGTCACTCCACGCCTTCCTGCTCAGTTCTCACGGACATTACCTGGCAGCTGCCGGGGGCCTGACTCTCCACTGTCCCTGGGTCCTGCTGTCTCCTCTGCGTGTCCTCAGTCTCCTTCCCTGAACCCTGCTGCTGCAGCCCTTCCGGGGCTGCAGGGACCCTGGAAGGCAGTGCCCCCAGCTCACTTCCTGGCTTGGTCTGATCCTGGGCTGCTTGCAGTTCCATGGGCCTTTCCTGGGGGACGCAAGATGCCAGCTTCTTCCTGGGAGAACAAAGGGATACCTCAGCTGCTGGACTGGGGCGTAGTTTTATATTCTCATAAGTCTTCATAGTTCCCAGAGCACCAGCGCAGAGCTAGGTACACCATAGGTGCATAATTAATGCCTGGGAGAATGAATGAAGGGCTGATGTGAATTCCTCAAATCATAAGCACTTTAATGTCAATGTTTAGGGGAGTTAGGATTTAATATTCTTATTATATATTATTTTTTAGAAAAATCAGGGAGAACTGGAATTCAGAGGCTGAGAGACCTGAGCGTAGGGTCATAAAGCTAAGGTGACAGCTCAGGATCTGGATCTGTGAATCGGTGTCGATGGATGTCACTTCAATACTCTGGAGTAGTTCCTACAGGTTTCTTCCTATGGATATACATATATATTTGCAATGAGGATTCATTTAATTACCATTTTCAAGTAATTGCACAATTTTAACTATAAAATTTTACATAGTTAAAATTGTATTGCATCTACAATTTTGCAGTCTTTTCTTCATTCAACATTATAGTCTAAGTGTTTCCCATGCCAAAAATCTTTCATAAACATGCTTTTTTAATGAAAGCATAAAACACTGTATTTTACAGATAATCATAATTTACTAAACTGTTCCTCTATTGTGGGCATTTGGGGCACACGAGCTCCAATCTTTTAGTGTGTAAAATAATGTGATGGTGAAATTTTTTCTGCATAATACTTTGCTTGAATCTCCAATGATTTCTTTAGGGCATATTTCTAGAAATGCACGAATGGACAGTTTTAAGTCAGTTTAAACAAATGCCAGGTTGTTTAAACATGTGTTGACATGGTTTTTATTTCCACCAGCATGGTATGTAGTACCTGTCTCAGGGGACTCGAACCTGGCTTTGACTGAGTCCCTTAACTTTTCATGTGGAAAAGATTATGTAGTGATTCCTAGTTATAATTCAATTTAAACAGTAAGCTAACTGGGCTTTACTATTCCTGTTTCCAAAGTCTTTTACTTTGCCTTTCTCTGGCTCTCTCTTGATTTTCTCTTTTTAGAAAGAATGCATTCTCACTGAAGAGAAGTTTAATATATATAATATTTAGAAAATAATAACTCCATGTAAACATAGATTTCCATGTCTCTCAGCCTCTCTTTTGTTCACTCTTCTATTAGTTCGGTGAATACATATTTATTGAGCATCTACCATGCTCTAGGCACAGCCCCAGGCATGAGGAATTTGAGGCTGAACAAGGCACAGCAGAAGGCTGTGGTCCAGAGGGAGCTCAGACAAAGGCCAACACAAATAATCATTTAGTGCAATTTGTGCGATGAACGAGAAGTTCAGGTGCTGTGACTGGGAGGGTCCGCCTTGGTCTGGAAGTACTCCCTCCCCTCTCCCCCTGCTCCAGGTGGATCACAGGGGGTTCCTTCCTGGATCTGCTCTCAGGGAAGCCCCCAGCTCACCCTGGGTCTACCAGATGACCCTGTTCTGGCGTCCTGAGCTCTGGAAGCCCCTCTTCAGATTCTCCTCTGTGTCCAAATCTCTCCTCTGGCCTTTCTGGGGCTAATGAGGGCTCCTTCCCACTGTCCATCCCTGCAGCATCTGGAAACATGACCTGGAACAAAAGTGCTCTTGGTGCCAGCTCAAGGGCTGGCTGTGAGTACCCATTCTGGAGGGATACCCCCCACTCCCTGGGCATGATCCCTGCCTCAGGGACAGGGAGGTTCTCTGCCTCACTGGGGAGTGTGTGGAGAGAGGCAGGGAGGAGACAAGAGGCGGGGGGAGAGAGGCTGGGGTGCTGAGCCAGCCCAGCTGAGAGGTTGTCGGTCAGCACTCACGGCTCTGATGTAAACCTGGGTCCAGAGTAGTACCTGAGCCAAGGGTATCCCGCCAAGCATGGCTTGACGGAACACCCTGGGCCACTTGAACACCCTCACGAGGTCTGAACGAGGCTTCCACCATTTCCACTACTATTTCATAGCTCAGGCTTGGAAAACTGGGTTGTGATGCTCATCTTGGTGCGTCACTCACTTGAGCCAGTGACTTAGAGCCAGTGACTTAGAGCCAGTTCCAAGCCTCACTCTAGTTAGCAAAAATCCAGACAACTTGGCTCAACCACTTGACAGTATTTGATGTAAGATTCTGGGGCAAGCCAGCGGTAAGGCCACCTGCCAGGAACCTCTGAGATTTCACCCAGTCGGTCCTCACCATGACACATATGAACAATGAGGCTCAAGGGGGCGCAGTGACATGTCTAAGGCCCCACGGCTGGTTGAGTGGCAGGACTGGACCCCATGACTATGCTGTTAAAAAAATGAATGGGTGGGTGAAGGAAGCCCTGACTGTTTGCCCCAGCCTCCCTTCGAGACCCCCCTTCAGGCTCTCTCCTGGCCCCCAGGAGATGCCTGGATTTACATCAGAGGCTGCAGAGAGAGGACGATACTTAAGGGAATGTTGACTTTGTTTATGGTGACATTTTGGGCTCTGGGGGAACTAGACAGGAAGGAGAGCCTTCTTTGTGCTTTCAGTTCATGCCACGGGACACTTTTTAAAAAATCAATGGAAAAAGGCTGTGAAGTGCATGAAGGCTTAGGATGCAAGGTGGAGGCTGGGAGGAGCATGGATGGGAACCCCGGGCAGTTGTCAGGGGAATAAAGGCCTTAAGGGGAGCTGGAGGTCAAGGTCGCGGAAGGCACCTTGTAGAATCAGTAGGCAATTCTTGTTTTGCTCCTGCAGCATCTCACTGGTAACAGAAGCCAGCATTCTTTTTATGGGAACCTTTCTTTCTCTATTTGGCTAATGGGGCTCAGTGGACTCAACTGAGTACCACCTCTGGTTCCACTCTGCCAAGAGGTCCAGGCCACTCTGCCCTGCCATGGTCACTGGCTCAGAAATAAGCATTTATTACGTGAACACAGTCTGGGCCAATGACAGTGATACCAGGCTTTTTTTCAACTATGGCAAAGAGAGGCTCTCTTCCTGCTGGGGATGCTAAGTCAGAGGATGTAAGCTATGAAGATGTAAGTTTGGAGTGGCCAGGGCAATTCTTGCCATCTTTCAGGGAGAGCCTTCCTGGGAATGGCACAGAGGAAGGCAGGGCCAAGAGATACTCATTTAGCACCTTGATCCAGCCATACCTGAAGGCTACTGGTAGATTTGTCAGTTACCCAAGCTGATGTGTCCTCCTTCCTGCCCACTCTAGTCTGAATTGGGTTTTGTGTCACTTATAACTGAGTCTTTCTTAAAAGATTTTATTTACTTATTTTTAGAGAGAGGGAAAGGGAGAGAGAAAGAGAAGGAGAGAAACATTGATGTGAGAGAGAAACATCAATCAGTTGCCTCTTGCATGCCCCCAACCAGGGACCTGGCCCGTAACCCAGGCATGTGCCCCGACTGAGAATCGAACTGGTGACCTTTCGGTTTGCTGGATGACCCTCAACCCACTGAGCCAGGCCATAACTGAGCCTTTATTAAAGCAGTTGGGGAGGAAGCCTGGACAGGGGTGGGGAAAGGTGTTCTTGGAAGTGGAGAGGTCAGAACACAAGGTGCAGGTCCCTACCTGGCTGGTTCCTGATATGACAGGCTCGACACCAGCACTCTTTCTGGCAGTCCTCAGGCCAGGACTTGGCTGGGCCCCTGGAGACTTGATCCTACCCTCCATGCATGTCTGGATGTTTCTGTTGTCCATTGTGCCACAGTGAATGGTGGTATCACGAGAGAAATCCAATCAAAGTTCCACCAAGCCCATTACCTAACCACCTCTCCAGCAGTCAACGTGGAGCTGGTAATGTAGGGAGCCTGGCTCAGGGGAAAAGGCAGGCCAGGCCAGCACAGGATGGGCACACAGCAAAACCAGAGAGCTAACTGCATGCAATTTACCCAAGTATTTTTCCTAATTTTCACAATGACTCTGATGAAAAGGAGGTTCTGGGAAGCAAAGTGACTTGCTCAAGGTCCAACACTGACTAGGTCACAGAGCAGAGATCAAAGTGTGGCCTGGCCTGTTGGATCCCCAAACCCACACATTTGTCCCTACAGCCACATTTTCTAACGGGTGTTCTTCGGACTATGAGTTGCATGAGATGTACTACAAGAAAACGGTTCTTGTAGACCAAATGCGTTTGGAGTGTGCTGAGTTAAAATTAAACGGGCTCCGTCCTGCAGGACTTCTGAGCCCTTGATACACTAGCGTGCATTATAGATGAAAACTCCAAGTTCTTCCTGGGACTGAGGAACAGGAGTTGAGCACATCTGTCTGTGGGGGACTCTAAGGTCTCCAATGGCAATATGTAGTTCACCAAAGCACCCCCACCCTGCCCTGGACACATCGCTTCGAGAGCCTTTCTGAGTGTCTCCCCGCTGCCTCTCTCATCTAACTTCATGCTCCACCCTACCGCCAGCCCCCGCCCCCCCCCCCGCCCCGCCCCCGCCCCCATACACAAACATTCCGCTTTCATCTGCGCAGACTCCTGCAGTCCCGAGGCCACAGTGCCCCAGCCTCTGAGCCCGCCTCCCACTGCTCCATCTCTCCAACACTCCCCACCTCATCCTTCAAGCTCCCACTGCTTTTCCAAGCTCCCAACCATCTCAGCCCTCTCTCTAGCTTCTGAATTCTCTTGGGGCAACATCAACACCATTTTTAAGGGCACATCATGGATGCCTTTTCGCAGTTTCTCCAGGTAAATCCTACCCCTCAGTGAGAGCATGTGACCTCGAAGCTCTAGACGGGGATGCGTCCACTGGAAATCACGGCAGGCCAGCCAGCTTCCATGGGGGATCCTTCTACTTGCTGGTCATGTTTGCAAATGGTATTCTCCTAACCACCCTGTGAGGTCAGTGGGCTTGGCCCTGTTTTAAAGATAAGGACACCGAGGCTCAGAGTAGCCCCTCTCTTGTCCAATACCCCGTGGCTGGCCTGCAGAGGAACCAGATTCAAACCCAGGCTTGTGTGACGCCCAAGACTGAGCATCTCACCGTGTTATCTTGCCTCAAAACAAGCTCGCGGCCATGCGATCAATCACGGTTTAACGGACATGTGCCCATGGCAGGCGGTGTCAGGCCTTGGAGATACACTAGGTGCATTTTACAGGGTCACGGGGGAGGTGCCTCTAACAAAATGCCTTTGCCCACCTCCTTTCCTCCCAACCTTGTCTGCCCTGAAGTCCTTCCTGCAATTAGGCTCGGGCCCCCACAATGCAAACAAGACCTCTGCTCCCAGGAGACCCCGCGCCCCAGGTGGCAGCTCCAGCGTCCCAAGGGCCTAGGGCTCTCACTTCGCACGACGCAGCCAGCATTGTGGCCAACTCGCTCTCTCTTCCCTTGGAGCTCCTCTCTCCTCCCGGACTCTCTCCCGTGAGGTTCCCTAAGCATTCCCACCCCAGGGGTGGATGCCCCACCTGAGGGAACCCCCCAGCAAGCCCCAGAAACACACCCCCCATTGTTCACTCTCTCCGCCTCAGAAAGCGCAGTCTCAGTCTCGGAACGCTCAGGCCCCAGGGTTCCGCACGCTGACGTTGCAGGGGGACAGACGTTCCAGAGGGCAGGCCCCTCGCCCCCATCGCCAGCTTACAGACTGAGAATCTGGACCGGATGGGGAAGCCCACACCCTGGCAGCAAGGCATGGAATCAGAGGGCAGAACTGAGGGGCATGGGTGGCACATGCATACTGTGCACCCCCTTTTGGGGCACTTGGTGCCCTTTTTCTTCACAACTACATTGATCTTTAATTCAGATACCATACAACTCACTCATTTAAAGTGTTACAGTTCAATGGCTTTTAGTATGTTCACAGAACTATGCAATCGCCACCCTTACAACATTTTCGTCACCACAGAAAGGAAGCCCACCCCCCTCAGCCATCACCTCAACCCTCGCATCCCACCCCCAGCCCTAGGCAGTCACTAACTTGCTTTCTGTCTCTGCTGATTTGCCTGTTCTGGACAGGTCCTATAAATGGAGCCGTACAATATGTGGTCCTTGGCTACTGGCTTCTTTCACTTAACACAATGTTTTCAAGGTTCATCTCTGTTGTGGCCTGTATCAGTACTTCATTCCTTTTTATGGCCAATATACCACATTTTATATGACCATCCATTGGCTGATAGACATTTGGATAATATTGCTATGAACATTCACGTACACAATTTTATGTGAACATGTTTTCATTTCTCTTGGGCACATACCTAAGAGTGGAACTGTGGGGTCATACAGTAACTCTACATTTAGCTTCTTGGTATTGAGTACCCTTTTATAAGTGTTTCCCCCATCTCAGAAATGGGGGCATTTCTCTTAGAAATGTCTATGATAGTAGGAAAATACAACAGAGAAACATGATAAGTGACCTGTAATATGTATTTCTGGGGGCCCCCAAGGAAAGCTGCTCACATCAACCCCCACCTTGGCCCTGCACCTACCAGAAAGCAGTGAGATTTTATACCCCCACTCACCTCCTCACACATGGGATGGGCTCTCTCTGAGCCTATAGTCCAACGAGAGGACAGTGTAGCTTCCTTGGGCCGTCACTCTTTCAGTGGCCTCCCTTACACAATGAGGATAACAACTCTTGCTCTGCCTACCTCACAGGGATTATTGTGTCAAGATGACCTCTTCCAGGGAGCCTTCCCTGACTGCCCCCACGCTGAGTGGGGTCCGTCTTCTCTCCGCTCCCTCAGCCCCCTGGGAATTTCCTCCATGGCAGCACTTTTCTTTCTGCATGGCAAATGATTTTTCCTCTCTGTCTCCTCCAGCCTGTGAGCCCCAGGAAGGCAAAAGCAGGGTGGGCCTCGTCTTGGTGGCCCTGGCACCTGGAAGGTGCTCAATGCCTGTCTTTGTTAGACTGAACTGCACTGAGAGTGCTCTGAACGCATTGTAAGACTGGGCTGCCGCTGGCACAGAGTGATAATTCTCTTTGTGGCTTGTGAGAGGAAGGTTTCCTACCTGCGGCAGCCACATGACAAGGCGCAAAGCGGTCACCGTGGACTACCTTCACACTCCTTGGCTTCCAGAGCAGAAGTGACAAGGCTTGGTGCTGATGGTAGACACTACCCCAAGTTCAGCTCTCAAGTCCTGAATCTAGATGTTCTCACAGCTGGAAGTTTCTCTGACTTAATGGTCCAGGTGCTTTCCTCCTGGGATACCCTATTTTCCCCGGTGTTGTCTGGCACATGCTGATGCAAGGAGCCAGAGTGTGGAAGAGAAGACACAGTGGTCCATTCCCAAATTGCCACTTGGCTTTGGGATGCAGCCAATTGATTACACACATGTGCGCACCCACCCATTTACTCCTTCATTCACTGAGCACTTACTCTGTTCCAGGCCCTGTGCTGCTGAATAGGGGGGTCCACAGGTGGCAGGGACAGTGTCCTGCATTCAAGAAGCTCACAGCCTAGTGGAAAAGCAGACGTAAACAGAATGATCAGAATGGGAGGGAACAAGATTGTCCCTGCAGGAGTGGGCCCTCCCCTGCCCTCTCAATAGCTCTCCCCCTCCACTTTCTAAGGGGAGTCCGTCTTTGCTACTCCAGGACATTAAGAAAATGAGAGAGAGGACCAAAGAGCTGGGAAGAAGAAATCTCATTTCTTCTTTGCTGTGGAGAATCAGGATAATGAGCAAAGTTGAAATTTAGAAGTTGTCAATTTACATAAAGAGATTTAACTTACATCTTCCAGGATGGCTGTTATCAAAGAAAATGGAAAATAAGATATATTGGTGAGGATGAGGAAAACTGAAACCATTGTTCACTGCTGGTGAGAATGCAAAGTGGTGCAGACACTGTGGAAAACAGTTCGGAGGTTTCTCAAAAAGCTAAATAAGGAATGATCAGATGACCCATTAAAAGGTATGAAATTCTGATACATGCTGTGACATAGGGGACCTTTGAAAACATTATGCTAAATGAAATAAGCCAGACATAAAGGACAAACACTGTATGATTTTACGAGGTATCTAGAATAGGCAAATTCATAGACACAAAGTAGAAGAGGGGTATAGAGATTAACCAGGGGCCAGGAAAGGTGGGAAATGGGATGTTCTTGCTTAATGGATATAGAGTTTGTGTTTGGGATGATGAAAAGTTCTGGAAACAGTGGTGATAGGTATACAATATTGTGAATGTATTTAATTTCACGGAATTGTACACTTAAAAATAGTTAAAGTAGTACTGTTTATGTTATGTATATTTTACAATAAAAATTTTAATTTAGGAGGTTAGATCATTCCTATAACAAAGAGTGTACAGAGTGAGTAAAAGAGATACAAAGAGATCTGACTAAGAGAACTCAGATTAAAAACAAAAAAATACCTCAGATCCCTGGGGAGAAGTAGGGAGGGTCCATGGGAGGGGTTTGCTGAGATAACTGTGGGCAGTCTAGGACAGGATTGGCTGAGAAGCTGAGTGCCTCCAGAGCCAAGGGAAATAAAAAGGGAGAGCTCTGTGGCTCCTGAGCTGGCTCACTCTCAGACTCTGGCTTGGGTTCTCAGGCTCGCTCTCAAGCTCTTCTTCCTCGACATAGCCTGGATGATCATGGTACAGCTGCCTGAATTTCCCAATGGACGGTATTTTGTATGGAAGGAACTCTGGGCACAGCCTAGGATCAGGCTGGCCTGGCAGAAGGTGGCAGGTTTATTCTTTGGGTGTTCTAGAGGGAACAGGCTCTGAAGCAGAAGCCTGCCATTTTTCCACAATTGTGTGGTTTTTGTATGTTATGTTGTTTTTAGTTTGTAAACTAACCCTACAGAAACTAGATAACTAAAAACTAACTGGGAAAAGATAGGAGAACTCAAGTGACCTTTTGGCATCTCTGGGCCACACTGATAGAAGAGTTGTCTTGGACCACACATTAAATACACAAACACTAACAAAAACTGATGAGTGAACAAAAGGTCTTAAATAAATTTATGATTTTGTGTTGGGCCGCATTCATAGCCATCCTGGGCTATCCATAGGCTGTGGGTTGGATGCCCCTATTTAGAGTTTAGCCTTGATTGATAGACTTAAGTAACTGCTTTTTTAAAAAAAATTTTTTTATTTATTTATTTTTAGAGAGGGGGGAAGGAAGGAGAGAGGGAGAGAAACATCAACGTGTGGTTACCTTTCACATACCCCCTCCAAGGTTCTGGCCCGCAACTCGGGCATGTGCCTTGTGTGAGAATCAAACCAGCAACCCCTTGGTTTGTAGGCCAGCACTCAATCCACTGAGCCATCCAGCCAGGGTTAAGTAACCACTTTTGAATAAAGACTCCTTTCCTTTATCAGCAAACCTTTTCCTCTGCAGTTTTTTCCTAGAGGGCACCGAAGGGCAGCAGAACCCCAACTACTGTTGGGTAACAAAATAGAGAGAGAGGAGAGGATAGAAGGGGGTGGAGAAAGTTTGGGAGTATTCAGTGAATCAGAGATTTGGGATCCACCGTGCCCTCATGGGACCTGGCACATTGTAAGAACTCAATAAATATTTATGAAATGAATGAGAGAATGATAGAGGAGGAGAATGGATTTTAAAAATCTGATTGTGGTTAGACCTTTCATCCCCTGTAACATTCTGTGAGAAATCCAAGTGAAGACTGGGATTCTTTTTAAATTACATAGGACGACCTTAAAAATAAAAAACAGCCAGTTATTTTTACCAGCGCAAAAAAGAAAAAATTATTCAGCACAAGCACCGCTACAGCAAAAAACTAGTCCAGTCCACAGAAAGAGGAAGTTGAGAAGGGGTACTTTGAAGGAAAGTGCTTGGAGGAAAGTGAAAGTTGTGGTTGGTGATGGTTCTCATTGGCTGAATTGCAAGGGTTCCCATTGGCTGGGCTTGCTGCTGGGCGAGAAAATCTTCCTCCTTCTAGGGTAGTAGAGACCCTTGTTGGGAATGCAAGGTAGTTTCTTCTTGCTGGGGTGCATAATTGAGGTGGCAAGGTAGTTCATGAGAGCTGCTTCTTCTGGTCTCGTGACTCCATTTTAAATGGGGTTTCTTTACTCAGTTTCCCACTTCATGTTACTAAATTTTGCTTCTTTGAATACAGCTCTTCACTGAGTCACAGGAGGCCTTGGGCACATGGTGGGTTCGGATAAGAGTGGCCGGGTAGGGGCCTCCCACTGAGCATAGTGGGTCACGTAAGGATTTCTCTGGGAGGAGACGCCTCAATCGAGTCTTACAGTCAGGAGAAGGGCGTGGCACAGGCTGAAATAGAGCGTCTTCAGGGTGAGCTGTGTAAGTCGCTACAGCTATGACTCTCAGCTACCTGGGCCCCAGATGTAAGTGTCGAAGCGGTAAGGATGATCCGCAACGAGACAACGGTGGAGTCTGTACTGACGGTTTCTCTGCAACCCATGAAGCCTGTGGGAGGGGAAAGTCCCCAGACAACCCTGATTCTCACCAAGTGGATCCTTGCGTCTGACCGCCGTACGTCTGGAGCTAGGGCTCTCAGCAGAGGACGCGCTGAGCCGAGAGGCGTGGAGGCTCGCGAGCTGCCGCTCTAGCCTGACCCGGGTCATAGAGTCGCGCCGCTTCCGTCCCTGGACTGGGAAGGAGCCGGAAGTTTGGTGGGCTGTGGACATCGAGATGGAGGAGGGCGAGTACGAGTCGGTGCTCTGTGTCAAGCCGGAGGTCCACGTCTACCGCATACCGCCGAGGGCTACCAACCGTGGCTACAGGTGACCGCCCGTTCCCGGCCAGGGGAACCCCGACTTAACCCCTTCCCCGCCGCCCGACACGCCCACTCTGGGAACTGAGGACAGCGCGCCAGTTTAGGGGCGAGAGGGCAGGTAATGCTGCGGTGCCTCCTGGCTCGTGGCCAGAGCAGGGAAAGGAGTCCAGACTTTCGGCTATCCCCGTTGGAAGCACCGGGCTCCCAGTGGCGGGGGAAGTATTAAAGCCCGCCTTGCGCTCGGGCGCCAGGTGGGCTTCCAGGTACCCTAAAAGTGGTCGGGAGTAGGACTGTCCCAGACATTTTCCTTTCAAAGCTAACTGGTAGCCTTGAAGGGATCCTTGAAAAACTTTAAGGGGGAGGAGGCCTCTCACAGGCGGAAATCCCAGAGGGGAAGGAAGGGAGCTCCAGGCAGGAGCTTTAAGCTGATGGCGGAAGCCCAGGGACCCCTCCCTCTCCAGCTTCCTTTTGTGAACTTCTTATCTTATCACAGTTTATGGCAGTTGGGAGGAATCGTCGGCATTCCGCTGGTGAAAAGTCCCTGAGATGAATAAACACACATAGGCTTGTAGACTAGTATCTGGAAGGGAACTGCCCCCCCGCACAGGAGGGGAATGGGATGGGGGATTTGTACCGTTTGTATTGTGTTAACGTGTATGTATTACCTATCAAAAGATGAAAAATATTTTTTAAAAAAGAAGTATCTTATCGAGACAACCTGTCCTGTGGCTATTTTGTGCCACAGATGGGCGAGGGGAGTGGGGAGGGTGCGGGTGGGGGGGCGAGGTGGCTCTTGAAAGCCCTGTTTGTTCAAGTTATTTGGAAATACAGAACACAGGATTGGCCCGCACCACAGGAACGATGGAAGTGTCGCCATCTGACTTCTTGTTAATTTCCAGTTGTGTTAACAGGGGCTCGTAGCTGATTCTGTAGTGAACAAATATTTTATTGAATGCTTGCTACATCCATGACATAATTTTAAAATAGTATGAAAGCAACAATAATAACAACAAAACCACATTTGCTTTCTATCATCAAACTGGAGATGGGCCACCAAACCAGGATGGTCCTCGACCCCCATCCCCTTCAGTAGGATAGGTTTGGCCCCTCTTGAACTCCCGGAAAGTGAGGATGCCAAGTGTCAGGGCTGGCCAGTTTGGTATAGAGGAAACTGTCAGCCGTTGACCTTCAACTTGAGAGCTCTGTTTAGCCTGAATCTAAGGCCTGTTGCCCCAATAAGAGGAACTGAAACGGAGTCTGCTGACTTGTGAATTGAGAGTCTGCCTTTGTGTGGCCTTCCAAACAACCTGTGTCAACAGTTATGTTGTCTCTCCGAGTCCTGGCATATGCTGAGGGACTTCCAAGGAAAGCCTCATGGAAACACCCAAGGTTCTTGCTCTTTCGGGATTTTACTGAGCTGCTTCTTAGTACTAGAATGTGAACTTAACTGCCTCTGTTAAGAGCCAAGAAAGGCCGTTGCGATAGGTCCGTACTTTCCTGGGTTTCTTTCTGCCTAGTCTGCCTTTGAGCGTATGTTTCTTTCTTTTTTAAAGATTTTATTTATTTTTAGAGAGAGGGGAAGGGAGAAAGAGAGGGAGAGAAACACCAGTGTGTGGTTGCCTCTTATGTGCCCCCTACTGGGGACCTGGCTGGCGACCCAGGCATGGGCCCTTGACTGGAGATCGAACCAGTGACCCTTTGGTTTGCAGGCTGGCACTCAGTCCACTGAGCCACACCAGCGAGGGTGAGAATGTGTTTCTTAAACACCCATTCATTTTCCTCTTGCTCTCCTTTCCTTTACTAATGACCGCTCCCCTCTCTGCTTTTTCTCCAAGATAGTCTCCGGTCCCAAATGGTCACACTGATCACTGCTGCTTAGCAATGTCTTAGGCCCCAGGAGCCACTCCCTCTACAGAAAGAAAACTGGAAGTCCTACTTCAGAGAAGGTCTTTATAATCTAAAACTGGCGCCAGCAAACTCTGACCCACTGCTTTTTTGTATGGCTCACAGGCTAAGAATGGTTTTTACATTTTTAAATGGCATGGGGAATTTTTTTAAAGAAGACTATTTCATAATGTGAAAATTATATGAAATTCAGGTTTCTGTGCTTACAAAGTTTTCCTGAAACACAGCCATGCCCAGAGCATTTGGTTATAATCCTTAAAGCACCAATTCACTCACGTACCGTGTATGACTAATCTCACTGTGACAACTGTGAAAGTGAGTAGTAGTGACAGAGGTTGTGTGGCACTTTTCAGGGAAAGTTCGCCACCGCCTGGTCTAGAACAAGCAAGCAGCCTGTATGCCTTCCCCAACCCCACCTCCAGCAATTACTCCAGCATTAGAGTAATTGGAGCTGGAGCTTCTGGCAGAGACTCAATGGTTCTTGTCCCCTTAGGGCTGCAGAGTGGCAGCTGGACCAGCCATCATGGAGTGGCCGGCTGCGGATCACTGCAAAAGGGCAGGTGGCCTACATCAAGCTGGAGGACAGGACCTCAGGTAAAGGCAAGGGAGGCCTGCGTGGGGCTGGGGTGCCATGCTTCCCGCTGCGAAGGGAGAGGCAGCCCTGGCTTGGCTGCGTCACCCTGGGGTCATGGGAACCTGTCCTGGAAGTCGAAGACCGAGTGTGCCTTGAAGCCTTCTCCAGTTCCCCGCCTTTAGTTGTAGTAACCGCTGTCCACAGGTCCTAAAAGGAGTATTTCCTGCCAAGCACCGATTCTTTTTGGGGGTGCTTAAGAAAATACTACTTTTGGAGCCCAAGGAGAGGAGACCTACAGGTGGTCCCCAAGTGGGAAGCCTCGGAGGTTGCCTTGAGACAGGCTGGGTGAAGGTGCAGCCCTCTGCTGCTGAGCTCTCCTTCTCAGGGATTCTGTTTATTGACTAAATGGTAACTCCCCAGACGGACCACGCCCATTAACTGAAAGCTGAAACTGTCTCCTTAGCTCATCCTGTGGTGAGAGGACAGCCAAGCTGGCTGGTGTTGCGGGAGCTGGTAGATGCCGCTTTTGGGGCAACTCTCTGGAAATCCTGTGCCCCCAGTGCCTCTGGGTCGTCTGTGGGGGATAGCACGGCCTGGAATAGCCCGGCCCCCAGAGCAGGGATTTGGCACCATGCCTGTTTGGTCAGGTGCCTCGGCATCCGGCCACCTATTTTTCTAATATGTAGAGATTTTCCTTTGTGGGCTGGAACAAGGTGCAAAGATTCATAGGCAGATGAAGTCTCAGGACTGCGTCATTTGTGTCTGCACTGTGGGGCCTTGGGCAAGTCACATGACCTCTGGCGCCTTGGCCTCCTTTCTGTTGAAATGGGGATCACAGTAGTTCCTGCCTCACCAGGTTGTTGGAAACCCTTCCAGTTGCTTTGTGAACTGCAAGGTGACCCACAGCATTGCTTTGTTCAGGAGCATGGGCTTGGCAGAGTGAGCGTTGTCTGCAGAGGAGTTCGAAGAGACAGCGGCCGTGGGTAGGCCAGGGAACTCTGGCTGTGAGATTGGCTGGGATGTCCCAGGTGGTGTCACAAGGGAATGGCAATGCCTGTTCTCTGGGGACCTTGGGAACTGACTGTAAGGTGACCCCCTAATGTAGCAGCTACTGCTCAGGGCAGAGCCTCGCCCGCGATACTCTTAGCTTGGGGTCGTGCCCACTTGGTCATGTTTGACTCTCACTTTTCAGTCACTCTAGGCCAAGGATTCTCAGCCTCAGCACTAGTGACATTTGGGGCCAGGTGAGTGTTGTGGGCTGTCAAATTTAAGTCAAGTTTAAGATATTTAGCAACATCCCTGGCCTCTGTGTACTAGATACCAGTAGTTCCTCCCCACCCCCAATCCCCCAAGTTGTGACAACCAAAAACGTCTCCAGATATTGCCAGATGTCCCCTTCGGGGATGGGGAGTAAAATCATCCCTGATGGAGAACCACTGCTCCAGGTTGAAGTTACCCAGGGCAGAGCTACCAAACTAGGACAGAAGTTAACAAAAAGGTGTGGACTCTAGGCTTATTGATTGTGACGCAGCTCAGCTTTGACTGCAGTCACCTCTATATCACAGGGTTCACTGGAAAATATTTGGTTAGATATTTAAAGCACCAACAAAGATCAGCACGTGGGGAAATGATGCCAGCCATCAATGCTCACAAAAGGTGTGCGCGCTGCACCCCGGAGAGCCGTCGTTGGCAAGGGGCTGCATTTCACAGGGGCGCACTTTTGAAACCAATCCCTCTTGCTCTGTCTCTGAGGTTAAATCAGCTGCTTCAGATTCTGCTGTGGGTGCTAAAACTTTGTCGTACCTTCCCACTGTGTTCACCGGCTCCTTGGCATTCCTGCCTCAGACACCAGGTCTTTTCTGCAGGTGTGATCCACCTGGACCAGGCCCGCCGGCTGCAGGGCTCCTAGAGTGCAGGCCGGCCGTGCAAAAGGGTGAGGCGGATGGGGTGAGCGGCCAGCAGCACCCGCCCACCATCCTCCTGTGGGAATGGGGGCCCAGCATGGTTACAGCTTTTGATTTCTTTTAAGATTTGATTGTGTTTTTTGAGAGAGGGGAAAGGAGAAAGAGAGGGAGAGAAACATCCGTGTGTGAGAGAGGTACATCAGTCGGTTGCCTCTCTCACGCCCCCTACTGGGGACCTGGCCTGCAACCCAGGCTCATGCCCTGACCAGGAATCAAGTCAGTGACCTTTCACTTTGTGGGAAAACGCTCAACTCACTGAACCCCGCTGGTCAGGGCACAGCTTTTCATTTTAAGAGAAGCCAGAAATCATTTATTTTATGTGTAATTTGATTTTAAAGTCATTTATTTTATGTGTAATTTGATTTTAAAGTGTTTCGCAGTTAGGTGAAAAATATTAAAGCTAACCCACCTCTGACTTAAACCCACTGTTGGTTACATTCCTGTGTCTCCCCTTCAGCCTGAACGGATTTCTTTTGAACCCCAGAGTAAGGTTTGCCCGTGTGCCTCACAGGAAACAGGCCCCAGCAGGGCGATAGAAACGTCAGGCTGGAGTGGGCTCAGGGTTGCACTTTGACTCTGCCTTGTGCTTCAGGTGAGCTCTTCGCTCAGGCCCCAGTGGATCAGTTTCCTGGCCTGGCCGTGGAGAGTGTGACGGATTCCAGCAGGTACTTCGTTATCCGCATCGAAGACGGAAATGGTACGTGAGGCCCCTGTGCTTCCTCCGCGTGAGAAGGGTTTCTCTGCCCCAGGAAAGTGGGACTGATCAAGAGTTTTCTTCTAGGACGACGGGCATTTATTGGAATTGGCTTTGTGGACCGAGGTGATGCCTTTGACTTCAATGTTGCATTGCAGGACCATTTCAAGTGAGTGGCTACAGGACACGTGCTCATGCCCCCTTCCCTCTTTTCCCTGGACAGAATGATTTCCCAGGTTAGGATACCTAGGCGGTGGTGCGTGTGGCTTTTCTCCCAGCAGAGCCCCTGGAAAACTCACTCCTCTTTGGGACAGGCCGGCTTCTCTGCATTCTGCCAGGCCTCATCCCTGCTTTGAAGCGATCTCCTTTTCCTGAGGCCCATCTCTGCCACCCCAGTCAGCTGGCCCAGACTTTGAGGAGTCACATTTCTTCCCTTACCAGGCCCCTGAGCAGCCAGAGTCCTTGTCAGACTCCTGTGGCTTTTCTGGGCCTCTTCCTCTGATATAAAAAATGGTGCTTGGATTCCCAGGCCACCCAGTAGATGCCCTGGTGGACCTTCCTGAAGCTGAAAGGCGGGGCGGGAAAGACTCCTTCCCGCCATCTGCAGGGCTCCACCTCTGGCCTCCAGCAAGTGGGGACCGTGTAGCTGCTCCCGTGGAGGCCTCAGGCTCTTCCCTGTGCTGGTGTCCCTGCCCTGGATGGCTGTTTCATGGAAGGTGGAGGACCTTGCATTGCCCTCCCCTTCCTAGCATCTGCCTTGTTCTATCATCTCCCTTTAGAGCCGTGGGGTGGGGAGGAGTCTTTATCTTAGTTCTTCTGCCAAATGCTTGGGAGTAGAGGGCCAGGTTCTCAGATTTACTGAAGACCAGCATTAGGACCCTCTACATCAGTGATCCCATTGAATTGCCATAGCAGGCTTTAAGACAGAGACTTGTCAACCCATTTTGCTGATGCAGAAACTGATATGCAGGCAGCTACTTAGGTGTCATAGGCAGGATTTGAATTCAGGCCTAACTCCCAGGCCTGCACTCCTCCACCACCTGCTGCAGCAAAAAGCCTCGTCCTTGGCCGGTGGCAGGTGGCAGTGAAGTGAATGTGACTGTGGGGTGGCCGGTCTCTTCCTCAGCTTTGTCGTCTCCTCCCCAGGTGGGTGAAGCAGCAGTGTGAGTTTGCAAAACAAGCCCAGAACCCAGACCAAGGCCCCAAACTAGACCTAGGCTTCAAGGAGGGCCAGACCATCAAGCTCAACATTGCGGTGAGTCCCACCCTTGCTTGGTGGCATTGGCCACGATCAGATGATACTTGGGCCACTGCACCAGGCCCAGCACAGCCCGTTGCTCTTTCTCACAGTTCAGTTTCATCAGTTCAGCAGATGTTTACTGAGCAGCTGCTTTGTTCCAGGTGCTACATGGGGGGTGAATTAGACGGCTCTGCTGTCCTCTCAGAGTTGAGCGGAGATGGGCGAGTCAAGATATGATTACAATATGGCAGGAGAGGTCATCTGACCTAGGGACATCCTCAGTGCCATTAGTTCCTACAGGGAAGGCACATAGCTCAGATTTAGGTAAACAAAGGAAGGCTTCCTGGAAGAAGCAACCTGTAAAGAAGGGAGGAAAGGTCAAAGGGTGGCTCAAGCATGTGCATAGCCTCTGAGTTGAGAAGAAACAGTCACTTCTTGCCAGAGCTGGCGATTTTGTCCTGGCTATTGTAGTGGGGATCAGCGCGCACATTGCAAGCTGCGTCTTTGGCCTTGCACCTCGAGTACGGGAGCTTTGGGGGTGCTTTGGGCAGGAAGGCATCAAGATGGGCATGGGGAGTCATGGGCACCTTCTGCTGCTGCTTGTCCTGGCTCCCTGTGTCTTTGTCCTGAGCTGCCCTGCATTTGGCTTTTCCTCTTTAGCTCCTGTTGAGAAGAGAAAGAGGTTGGAGTGGCCAGGTTGCCAAGACTTGTCCTTGATCTACTACAAGGGTGGAGTTGGACTGATTTGGGGAAACCAAGGACCAAATGGATTTGATTTTGAAGACACTTTGTAACCCTAAAATAATGCTCTTCCTCTGTACTTACTATCTCTTTCTCCTCTTTTCTGCTTTGTGCTAGTGATGATTTGGGACCTTGAAGTTGGCCAACTAGCCCTTAAGAGAAAATGCAGGTCAAATCCAGTGGACTGGTTGGGATGTGATTCTTTCTCTTGCTGGGAGGAAACTAACATTTACTGAACAGCTGTGTGCCAGGTAGTGTTTTTCAGGCACTTTCTCATACAAATTAAATGTTTTCCCCTTCTCCAGGCGAGGAAATTGAGGCTTGATGAGGCTACGGGACCTGCCCAGGGTCCTCAAGCTAGGAACAGCCGGCCCACCTGGGCTCACCCTGAGCTCTTGAGGGCTTTTGACTTGGGGCTGTGGCCTTAGCGTTTGAGTAAGCTGTTGCCTTCCTTACAAGTAGGGATACAGGTCGTCTTCATCTTTGTAACTGGTGCTGCTTTCTGGCTCATGCTCGGTGCTCAGGACTCTTTTTTTAAATGTTTTTTTAAAAGTATGGTACACATGCAGAAAAGTGCACAGATTATGAATGCAGAACTCAGTGAATTTGTAAAAACCGAATTTACCCTCATAGACTAGCCCCCAGCTCAAGAAGCAGGTATCAGCCCCCTGGAAGCCCCTCTTCTCTCTTCCGGTAACTGCCACCTCATGGGCCACCAGTGTCCTGACTGAATACCTTAGATTTCGTTTTCAACTTTTATTAATTAAATCATACACTTTGTACACTTTGTTGTGTATGACTTCTTTCTTTTACTGATGTAATAGTGGTGAGAGCCTCCACGCCGTGGCCTGTAGTTGGTTCATTCTCATTGTGGTGGCGTCCTCCATTGTGAGAATGTGTCAGCGATTTGCCTGTTTCACTGATGGTGGACATTTGGGTAGTTTCCAGTTTGGGGCTGTTATAAGCAGTGCTGCTGAGAATGTTCGAGCACGTCTTTTGGTGCACAGATCTATGCATTTCTGTGGGGTCTCTATTCGGGAGGGGGATTGCAGGGCCATCGGTTCATTGAAGGAGTTTACCCAACCGACGCTTCCACCAGCAGTTGTACGAGCGTTCCGGTCACTCCATACCCGTGTCAGCACTTGGTGTTCTATGTTTTAGCTATCCTGGCGGGTACGTAATGGTGTTTCATAATAGGTTTGATTTGCATTGCTCTAATGATTAATGCATTTGGGCGCTGGGTTTTAAGATTACACGTGTTTTTGATAGCATTAGAATTGTAAGGCATCGAATACATCTCTTAACAATGAAAATGCTAGACAGACATTGACCATCTTGGCTGTATACACGTTTGGAGCCTGGGGGTCACCTTGTGGGTTTCTGATAGCAGTGGAGTGTGAGCAGAGCTGACTGGTCCACACTCCTCTCCTCTCTTTAGAACATGAAGAAGAAGGAAGGAGCAGCCGGGACTCCCCGCGCCCGGCCTGCCAGCACAGGAGGACTGAGCCTGCTTCCCCCTCCTCCAGGCGGGAAAGCCCCTGCCCTGGTCCCTCCCCCTGGGGATCACCTGTCTGTAGGAGGGTCCCTCGTCCAGCCGGAAGTTGCTCCCAGTTCAGGTGAGTGCTTGAGGGTGGCTGTACTTGCTGCCGTGTGGGTTCCTCTTCCTGCCAGCAGCTGGGGCTCATGGCTTTCCCTCCTTCACTCATTGATCTGTCATTTGGTAGCTCTATGCGAGCCACTGGGAGGTGAGCATCATGAAGCTGATCCTGCCGCAGTGGGTAAAGGGTTCCTCTGTCGCCCTGACACCCACCACTCAGCCCTTGAAGGTGTCTCTCCTCTCCTGATGGGCAGCGGCTTCAACTCATTCGTTCCTGTGAAGTCATCCCTTGGGTTCCTGGTTCTCAGAGGCTGCTCAGTGGGTGTTAAAGAGCAGGTGATGGACATGTAGTCTATGCTCCCAGGGCACTCATATCTAGTAGGAGACAGGAGTCACAGGCACAGAGACTGGGCGCCAGACTCACTACCAGCCATCGTGATCGGGGGAGGCATCATGAAAGAGGTGGCATTGAACTGGGGCCCTGAGGGAAGGAGGTCGGGGCAGGGGACACTTGGGACTTGACACAGAGAGAAGAGCTAAATAGGGCTCAAACTCTTAAACACCTGGTGTGCTGAGGGAGATGGCAGGTGTAAGAACGCCAAGGTGAGTGGTGAGAAAGAAAATGGGAGATCGAGTTTGGAGCCGCCCCTCCATCAGGCCATGGGGGTGCTGAGGAGCTGAGGGGCAACACCCCAGCAAGCTGTACGCTGCTTGTGCCAGGATGTCGGGGATGCCGCCTGGAGACCCCGGAATTCCAGAAGCCAGTATTGAGTGCTGGCCTCTGGTAGAGCTGGGGTGCCAGCCCCAACCCTCGACCTTCCCACTGTGCGTTCCCAGCCCAGCTTGGTGCCCCTGACCCCCACCCCAGGCTGGGCAGTTGTGACCAGCCCCCTTCCTTCACACAGTGCTCACCGGCTTCTTGGGGACAAGACCCAAGCAGACAGGAAGCCTGCTTTCTTTTCATTTGAGGCTTGTGGACACTGGCCCCGCTATGGATGGAGTCAGGCTTTTAACTCCATCGCTGTGGGGAGCCCCAACCCAGGAGCGGGGCTGGCTGGCAGTGAGCCCCGGCACCTGCCCCAGGAATCTTTCAGCCTTGGTTCTCAGTGAGGTCATGGGACCGCTTGCCTGGGCATCGCTTGGGGCAGGGCCAGGAATCTCTTTTCTTCAGGTTACTTTTATACTCACTAATGTCTGAGCACCACTGTCTTAGGCCTTCCCTCACTGCCGGTGCATTTTCAACAAATAATGGAGAGCCTGCTGTGTGCCAGGTAGCATTTTAAGCCCTGGGGATACTGCTTTCACATTACGTGCTAATGTGAAAGACAGGCAGTTAGCATGTCTCCAACTAATGATGTTGGATCAATGAGAGTCATGACTAGCTGGCATTTACTGAGCCCCTACTACAGGGGTGCGCAACAGGAGGTTAATAATAAGTGATAATGCAATGATAAATAAACAAACCGTTCAAAAGTAGGTTTATAGTTGTGAGTATGCAAATATAATTTATAATTATTTATTGATTATCATATTAGTATGTATTGTTAACCTACCTTTGCCCACCTGTATATATGTTCTAGAACCAGACTGGCTAAGTTCAAATCCTAGCTTACCTAGTATGATATTCAGAGAATTGCCACTTCTCTGTGCCTTAGCTTTCTCATCTGTAGGATGGGGTAGTAATGATAGCTGCAATATAGGTCCCTTGTAGGGATCAGATAGTCCATGGAGAGCCCTATGAACACTGTAAGTGCTCACATTTGTTAGCCCTCATTTGATTAATATTGTCATTCTTGTCACTATGTGCTGGGCCTGTTAATCCTCAGTCCTGTGAGGTAGTCCTGGTTCTTGTCTTTTATTTATTTATTTATTTAGATTTTATTTATTTTTAGAGCGAGGGGAAGGGAAGGAGAAAGATATGGAGAGAAACATAGGTGTTCGAGAGATACATTGATTGGTTGCCTCTTGCACGGCCCCTACTGGGGATCAGGCCTGCAACCCACACCTGTGTCCTGACTGGGAATTAAACCGGTGACCTTTTGGTTTGCATGCCGGCACTCAGTCCAGTGAGCCACACCAGCCAGGGCTCTTGTCTCCATTTTAGAGGTGAGGAAAGTAGGGGCTAAGTGACCCGCATAAGGTCACACGGCTGGGGCCATGGCTCCCCCTGGGGACTGTGCTGAGGCTCCACTGCGATAGTGGACACTACGCACTTGGTGAGCGGCAGAACCACTGAGGGCCTGGGTTGTATCTGGTCTCTTAGCCCAGAGCAGATCAGAAGTAGCAAATTGGTGGGAAGGCAGAGGATGGCAGCCACAGGGACAGTGGGACTTCAGAAGGGACAGGCGGTTGGCAGCACCGGGGGAGGTGCCAGGAAAGCACCTGAGTGGGCACTGAGGCCCCTCGCGCCACGCCAGCTTGGGGTGGAAGGTGCGCAGGTACCAGCCTCTGTGGTGCCGTTTCTGGATGGCTCTCCCCGGCCCCTAACCAGTTTGGCTCCCAGGACTTGGCACGTTGGACACACGATTTTCTTAGCTGTTTAATCCAGACTGGACTGAGGGCTTTATATGAAGATGACTGCAGTTCGAGTGGGCATTTTCTATTCAAAAAGCCAGGGCAGAGATGGTTAATTTTAAGCAGATTTTCACCATAAACGGTGACAAACAGGGCTAGCCTCGGGTATGCATGGTAGAGGATGTGTGACCCGCCCTCACTGCCTTCCTCTGCCCTGAATGTGGCTCTGCATTTCTCCAGGAGCCCTCAAGGGCTCATGAGAAGGTGGTAGAAATATGGTGGCTTGGTGTGTTGTTGCCCAAAAGCACATCTCCACGTGTGTCTTTCTCAGCCACCTGGAATTACGAGACTGATTTCAGGGTCACCAAGACGACCAAAAGATCTCTGACTCCTGTCTTTCTCACTTCTCTTCCTATCCACCGGACTTGGGGACATCCCTAGGAGGTGCCACTGTGTCCTGGCCACAGCCCAAGCCCGCCGCTACTGCTACCGCTGACATCTGGGGAGACTTCGCAAAATCCACAGGGTGAGAAGCTCCCATTCTCTGTGGTGGGACTTGGGCCGGTGCTGTTTTCTCTGAAAACCTGGGATTGCTCCAAATGCCTCCCTTCTGCTGTTTCGGGCAGTCGCTCTGATTTGGATATTTTCAGGCCAGCCAGAGGGCAGAGCACTTGCTTGGGTGGCACGCTTCTGTCCGTGAAGACTTGCTGTTGCGCTCCACTGCTAGGTGGCCTGGAGTCAGCTGGTGCAGCCCTTCCTGGTCTGTAAACCACCGCACAAGTGCTTTGGCTTGTCCCCAGTGCCTCCTTCTCCACCCTCCTGCCCCCAGCTACCCCAGAACATGGAGCGGAGAGTCGGCCTGGGTTCTAGCCTTGGCTCGTTCTCATGGGACCTCTGAGGCCAGGTGTCTTGTCTTCTCTGACCCCATAAAATGTGAAGCCTTTACCTGGCGTCCGGGTGAAAAGATGCTAAAGTCCTGCCACACCACTGTTTATGTGGACAGGCTCTAAGACAGGTCAGCACACATTTTCTATGAAGGACCAGAGAGCTAACAGTTTAGACTTTGCAGGCCATATGGTCTCTGTCCCAACTACTCAGTTCTCCTCTCCTGGCTCAAGGGTAGCCACAGACTGTATGTAAAGGAGAAGGGTATGGCTGTGTACCAATAGAACTTTATAAAGTAAGGGGGGTTAGATTTGGTCTCTAAGCTATAGTTTGCTGATGTCTGCTCTAGAATACTCAGGGGCCGACTTCTTGGAGAACTCCTCCTCTCCAGAGTGAATCCACCTTGCATCCGCTTTGTAACTTTCAAACATCTGAACTCTCCCATCCCTCTCTCCCCCTTTGCAGGGCGACTGCCAGCCAGACCCAGCCAGGCACAGGCTGGGTCCAGTTCTGACCTGAGCCCAACTCTTTATTTTCATACAACTTCTGGAAGGATCTGCCTCATCTGGGCCAAAGGCAGGAGGACGAAGCACTCCCTGGCCAGCCTCTCTTCGGAGCATGACTCTCTCCTCTCCTCCTTGCTTGACTCTCTTCAAAGACTGGGAATGGTAGGCAGTCAGTTGGCACCATGTCACATGTTCCCCCAGGACTCAAGTTCGCAACCAGAACACAGGAGGAGAAAAGCTCCGGGATCCCTGTCCCTGTCCGTCCTCTTGACGTGAAAGAGACTCTGAGACTGCTTCTTCCATCACCATGACCCGAAATAAACACAGGCCCTCCAAAGCAAAAGAAGGGGTTGAGTGTGCTGCCTGGATCCCGGTCCGCCCTCCTCAGGGATTGCAGGTGTCCCGGGATCACTGTTCGCGAGGGGGGCTCTGCACTCCCACTGGCTGCAACTGCGTCGTCAAGGCACTTTCGGAGGAGGGCTTCCTTCCTGGTCCCTCGCAGGCTGATAGGCTGCAGCTTGAACGGACAATCAGAGTAAAATTGGGAGCGTTAACCAGCTTTCTGAAATTTTTAATATTTGCTTTGCTCATGCTGACCTGCACTAATTTGTTATCTTTGCAAAGGGGACCATTCCTGCACGAGCGCCCCCCACCCCCCACCCCGCCAAGGCCTCTGAAAGCCCTGGCACTGTCGGCTGCAGGCGTGGCTGGGAGCTCCGGGAAACAGTGTTCATCTCCGCCAGGTGGCCTGGTTTCCTCATCTTCCAGGCCAGGTGGGCAGTGCGTGCCGAGGCAGGCGCCGGAAGCCAGGTGGAACAGCGCTGGGGCAGGAAAGTGGAAGCTGTCCTTTGGAGGTGGGGGTTCGGCCTTCCTGTCCACCGGCAGCTGTGTGTGTGTGCAAGCCTCGCGTGCAGTTGCTGGTGGACTGGGGTGTTCTCGGTGGTTTCTGAAGTGCCTTGTTTGCAGACAGCTATTTCTCCTTTAGGGGCTATGTGACGAGAGCTCTGACGGAACTCCAGGGTTGCCTGTGTTGCTGGTTTATATGAAATAATTTTATCTGAGCACATCTCTAAAATTGCTTTTAAAATTTTACCTTTTAATTGAAAGATTTTTTTTTTGAAGGGTCAAGATGATGAACTGACAAAAGTATTTGCCTTTTTGTGCGACCAGATTTCTAAAATTAAAAAAATAAATGTTTTTACTTCTGTCAGTGCACGTCAAAGCAAACATGTTTTTGGTGGCACGGCCCCTGCACCTCCCAGGATGCTACAGCTAGCATGCAGCTGCCTCTCACCATTGATCACGTGTACAGATTTAAAGTCTTGGCCAAAATGAGAGGATTTGGCCCTGTTCCCCTAAGGCAACCGGTAACTTCTTTCCTGTGCGTCCAGAAGAGTGCAGTCTTTTTGCCATTCTGGGACATTGTGGTCCCCTGCCTCCCACCAAGCCCCTCCCCCCACACATGGAAGCACCACCGTAAATACTAAGGGCCTGCAGGCACACAGAGGCCAAAAAATAAAAAGGGCCACATACTTGCACCTGAACGTTAATGTAACAAGGAGGTAGTTTTTAATAGTTTTTTTTATTGTATTTTTTCAGTACTTTTTTTTTTTCTTTTAAGATTCTATTTTATTTTAGAGAGAAGGGAAGGGAGGGAAAAGGAGGGAGAGAAACATCAATGTGAGAGAGAAACCAATTGGGTGCTGCTTGTACACACCCCGACTCGCAACCCAGGCATGAGCCCTGACCAGGAATCGAACCTGTAACCTTTCACTTTGTGGTATGGCGCCCAACCAACTGAGCAATGCTGGTCAGGACAAGTAGGTTTTATTTTTGATATGAAAATAGCCATTCAGTATAGGGAGAATGAAGAAAATTAGAATGGATGATCCTTGAGCCCATTGAATGAGGATAAGGAAATTACATAAAAGAATTCTTAGGAGGAGAAAGGCTTTTTGTTTATTTTCTGTTACTTCCCATCTTTCTAAGTGCTTGGAGGCTGAGGAAACTTTGACTTAACAGGAATCCTGTCGTTAGAAGTACAAACCATCGAAAGTGAGCACTTGGGTCCTGGAGAGAGACCTGGGATCGGGGTCTAGGCTGTCTCCTGGTGTGAGACGTGTGACTGCAGGCTCCTTCCTTACCCCAGGTGTCACTCATGTGAGGTATATAAAGTGCTAGCAGGTACCCATCCTGTAGTTTGGCCTTAATCGCCTTTACCTAGAATCAGGTGACAGCTTTCTTTGGTGGCTTGGCTTGAGGTGGCAATGAGGCAGCCAAGAGGAAACAGTTAACCGAGCATCAAATGTGTAAAGCACCTTGAGGGGGGTTGGCGGCAAGGGACAGTTTGGGGCTCTCCATCACCAAGTGGAATCCCAAGTGAATATAACTGCTACTGGGACCAGGATCCCCAGGAAATACCCCTCTGTACCAAACCCAGCATCTCTGGTCACACTCCTGACAGCAGGTTGCAGGTGGGTGGGGGTGGTTGGCTAAAGTGGGAGGTGGGCATTGGTTTGAGGGTTGTGAGGCCTGAACTGTTCAGTGGGGAGATGTGGATACACAGAACCCCCACCACCCCCACCTGGTGTTCACACCCTTGTGCCATTAATGTCCTTTGAATGTAGGCTAGACTTGTGATATCTAACCAGTAGAATAAGGCAAAGATGACAAGATGTTGGTTCCATGCTTACCAGAGTTTGCAACATCCGTCTTGCTATCTTCAAAGAAGCCAGGTGCCATAGTGTGTGAGCTGCCCTTTTTGAGGGTCAGGGTGATGAGAGGGGCCGCCAGCCAGCTGGAAGCTGAAGCGCTCGGTCCAGCAGTCGGCAAGGAACTGGGTGCTGCCCAAACCGCGTGAGCCTGAAACTCATCTCTTCCCAGTTGATCCTTCAGGTGAGTCCCAGCCCTGGCCAACACCTGGATTGCAATGGTGCAGTGGACCCAGCCAAGCTGTGCCCAGCATCCTGAGCCATACAAACAGTAAATGAGTCGTTTTAACCTGCTAAGTTTGTGGTAATGCTGTTCTGCAGCAATAGGTAACTGATACAAGAAGTGAGCGAAGGGCATTTGATGTAGAAGCCAGTGTGACAAAGGAATCTGGGCAGATGTAATGGCTGTATGGCCACGGGAGGTCAACACACTCTTCTGAGCCTCACCTTCCCCTTATGTTGACAGTAGCCATTATCTAATGCTTACTCTGTGCTAGGCCCTGTTCTGTGCACTCAACATAAAACATTTCATCATCCAACAGCCCTGTGAGGTAGGTACTCATCCCAGCGTTACAAATGAGACCAAGGGACAGTGAGATTATGTAATTTGCCCAAAGTCACATCGTTGCTAAGTGGCACGGTTGGGACTGGAACCCAGGAAGTCTGGCTCCAGCATCCATGCCACTAATCAAGCCGATCTACTTGAGCAGTGCTGCCCATGGGGCTGGCACATAAGATGCGCTTAGTATATGGAAGCTCCCATTCCCTGCACCTGGATTAAGGGAGCCGTGATGTGGCCCGTATTGAATGACAGGCCGAGGGAGGGGCTTTAGTCCTTAGGTAATTGGAGGTCACTGAAGTAACCACGAGCACACAGTAGGTGTTTAATAGCTGCTGGCAGAGCAGGAAGTGACATGAAGGTACCGTGCTCTGGAGGAGACCAATTTTTTCCTCACTGCAACTTGAATGCGGACAGATAATTTGTTCTCTTCCTGATTACTGATGTGATGTAGATGTAAAAACAAAAACACAATCTTAACAATCGTGTAATACTGCCATAACCAAAGATTGGAAGTAGGCTGCATGTCTATTGCTGTGTGACAATCACCCCAAATCACAGAAGCTTAAAACAATACACAGTATTGTCTCACGGTTTCTGTAGGTCGAGAACCCAGGTGCAGCTCAGTGGGTCCTGTCTCCACTTGTCTCAGGCTGCAGTCCAGGTGTCAGCTGAGGCTGCAGTGTCATCTTAAGGCTCAACAGGGGAGGATTCCATTCCCTGTTGGCTCTTGGACAGAGGTCACTTTCTTGCCACGTGACCTCTCCACAACTTGGCATTTAGCTTCATCAAAGTGAGCAAGCATCCCTGGCTGGGGTGGCTCAGTGGATCTGGTGCTGGCTTGTGAACCCAAAGGTCACAGGTTTGATTGCCAGTCAGGGCACACGCCTGGGTTGTGGGCCAGGTCCCCTATCGGAGGCATATGAGGGACAACTGATCAAATCTGCACATGGATGTTTCTCTCGCTCTCTTTCTCCTTCCCTTCCCCTCTCTCTTAAAAGTAAATAAATAAAATCTTTTTTTAAAAAAAAGTGAGCAAGCAAGAGTGCCAAGACAGCAGTCACAGCCTTAATCTGAGAAGCGACATTCCCATCACCGTGGCTAGAGTCTACTAGGTAGAAGCAAGTGTCAGGTCCCGCCCACACGCAGGGGGAGGGGACTAACTAACAAGGGTAAAAATACCGAGAGGCAGGATCATCCAGGTCATCTTAGAAGTCTGCTTACGTATTAGTTCCCCAGGGCTGACGTAATAAATTACCACAAACCGGGCAGCTTGAAACAACAAATTTATTTTCTCTCTCCCAGCTCTGGAGGCTAGAAGTCTGATAATAAGACATCAGCTGGGCCATGCTCCTTTCAAAGATTCTTCGCGCTTTTACTGAAAGCGCTCCTTGGCATATAGAAGCATCATGCCAGTCTCTGCCTCTGTCTTCACATGGCCTTCTCTGTCTCCCTGTGCGTGTCCTCTCCTCTTCCTGTAAGGACACCCCATATTGGATTTAGGGCCCATCCCTGAAATCAGGTGGAACCCATATTATTTCATCTCAGATCCTTAATTACATCTGCAAAGGCCCTATTTCCAAATGAGGTCACATTCCCAGGTATTGGGGGTTAGTACTTGAACCTGCCTTTTGGGGGGATGCAATAGGACCCTCTACAGTCTACCTACTACGATGTCCATCAGTAAGGGATGAGTTATATAAATTTAGGTGCATCCATACAGTGGAATACTAGATCCCTGGGTGAAAACAAAGAATGAAAAAAGATCTTTATATGTTGATAAGGAATAGTTGCTAAGCTACATCAAGGACAGGCAGCAAGGTACAGAATAAAGTGTAGATATAATATGCTCCCGTTTGCATAAAAAAGTGGGAAGGGAAAATATATTATGTGAATAAAATATCTCTGGGTGATTGGGAGAGAGGGATGGGAGAGATACTTCTGACACTATTTGAATTGAATCATGTAAATGTACCATTTTTTCAAAGAAGGAAAAAATATCTACATTTCAAAGATCATCTATCAAACCAACACCCAACAATATAGAGACTGGTTAAAATTTTAGTGTCCTATCTT